GCGCGCGCGCCCGCGCGTGAGGCGCTGCGTGCGCGTGTGATGCGTGTGCCTGTCGTGCGTGTGCCTGTGATGCGTGTGCGTGGGTGAGGGTAAGGCACGCACCGGAGCGGAGCAAAATCACATGACGTGCATTAAAAAGCACAGCTCACACAGAAGGCGCTCAAGACATACAGTGATTGTATATGAAGGCCGCCCCGCGAAGAGGGGCCATCCCCCATAACCTGTGCATTCAGGGAGATTCACCGTGATGACCTTGTCATGGCTCCTGCGAGCCCGGTCTGGGATCCTCACTTGCCCTTGGTTTGGCCTATGTTAAGCCTTGGCAATGCCAATCCGTTTGTGCAGGTCTTCGGCATTTTGGCAAAGAGTGACACGCTCCCGAGGTTCGAACTTGGTCCTAAGCCCTGCACAGTGACCGAGTATGGAACAAAGTTGAGAATATCACCTAAAGGGTACGCCATCGCTCAACGCAGCAAAATGGAATGCAGCGCAAATCCAATGTCATGCAACAGAATGCAATGGAACAGTAGGTTTCGTTGCATCACGGTACGCCTACAATCTCCCGTTGAACTGCCTCCCCCCCCCGAACCGAAATCGCCGGCGGCTTCTCGCTGGATCTCTATGGGTCTGTGAATTCCCTTCTCGTTTTGCATCTTGCCGGTTGCTTCTTGCTCACCCCAAACCCCAGAGCCAAGCACAGCTTCAGCCACCCATCCCAGCTCAGGCAAGGGCACGGAATACGCGCGGAAATTTGCACCTGGGATCGAAAGTGAAAACTGTCCGTGCAGCCTCCGGGAAACTGCAACGTCCCCGCGTGTTTTTAGGCTGAAGAAACAAAAAATGCTCAGTCACCACCTGCTCCCTCGGGACATCTGCGCTCTAATCCCGAGAGTGGACCTTCCTCCTGGCCAGTGCTGAGGAAACACAAGCCGTTCTTCTCAATCCTGGCCCCACACACACGCTAGGGGCGGATGGTGACGCACATAAATCATAGGGGAGCAAAACAACAACCAAAACCTCTAGCCACCATCAGCACAAAGTGCACCCTTTGATTTATCTGAGAGTTCTTGAGGGAACCCCCTTTAAATAAATGATTTAGGGAAAAAAAAACTCTTCACCTCCGGCGCCTTCACCACGACGCGAGTCTTTTTTTCTTGCTCCCGGCATCGTCCCCGCAAGGGGCCAGCCCCTTCTTCAAGGGCCGAGATGTCACAATCTCGTGGTGGATGTGAAACACGGCGCCTTGGCGCAAAATGGGCGTGTCTCTGTTTAGGGTACCTCCTTCTGGTTAGTATAAAGGGACATGAAAGGACAACCACCATTTTGGGGGTCGCCTTAAAAAGGACACACCCAAATCCGAGTTGAGGTCCCGGATTCATAAACGCCAAAGCATCCAGTCTTTAAATGTATCATTTTTCCTTGTAGCGCCGCACACACAGACACATTCACACATCCACCTCAGCAAGAAAAACTTTGCAGTTCCTCATCTCAGTACTTCTGGCGAATGCTCTGAGAGGAGGTCGAAGAGTCGGCCTTACTTTGTGGGAGCGGGAGTCAGCTCGGTGTTTCCCTGCGCCGACCCCATTAGCTGCAATTGAAAGTCCCTCCAAACCGAAAACACCAGAAGCTCTTTGCTGCCGCCATGAATTGAAACTCGTGTTTTTTTTTGTTTTTTTTTCTTCTTTTTTTTCGTGGGGTTGAAACGGTTAAGCTTGCCAAAAGGACCACTCCAGTCCCAAGGAACGAAGCTGCATTTGGTTTCTCCAGGCACTGAATTTGCTTCACCTCGGATTTGGTGAACCCGCACCTGCGACAAACGCGGGCACCCGTGTCCGTTTTCCGCCAGGCAGACGGAAAGCGAAACCGCCGAACCGCCGAAGAGCCGAACATCTCGGTCGCTCGAAAACTCCCCCGCCCAGTCGCACCGGGCTCCCGCACCGTGGCAGCTCTTGAAGGCCCCCTGGGGGAGAATGGTTGTGACCGTGTTTCCCATGTAGACATCCACGAAGGCTTCGCTTAGTCCCAATGGCTCTGGCTTCCAAGTGGCGCGGCAAAGGCGGCACCGAGGCACCGGCCAGCGAGAGAGAGCTCAAAGCTCGCCTCGCCTGAAACCCTCACAAGCAACAACCAGGCCCCAAAACAGACCATGTCCGCTGCACTTGACTCGGCAGGCGCAAAATTGAGCACACGCATCTGCATGTGCCATTCATGTGCACGAGCCTGCGGCCGGCAAGCGGCCATCCTTCCACGCTTGCGGAAGGAGTCGGGTGCATTTCCGGACAAGCTCATCTCTTTTAGGTCGAGGGGTTCCAGGCCAAGGCCCCGTTCCGCGACTTGATGGATCTGGCGCCAAAGGTTGCTTGCCCCCTGTACCACGCAGGTGGAGAAAGTCCAACCCACAGAGGGCTTTTGGGACGTACCCGGGGGGGCAACTGAGAGATGGAAGCTGGCAACCGGCCAGAACAGACGAACAGACGAACAGCGCACAAACACAAAGCAAGCGTATGGGTGCTTCCTAAAATTGGGGCCTCCAGGAAAAGGTGGTTGAGGGAAACCAAATGAATACCCCGGATACGCATGAAGAAAGAGGTCCGAAATTTTGGGAAGCACTCACAGTCTCCCTGAAGGGCCCAAAACCTCCAGTTCCAACGGAATCTGGCGGGTGGCAGGCTGAGCTGTTGCACTGTGACGGGTTTTTCGCCAGAGAGAGGCTCGGTGTCCAGTGGCTTCGCATGGTTGCGGAAACATGGCTGTGGGTCAAAACCCTGGCATTCCCCCCGGGACCCTAGATTCCGTCTAAAAGTGTGCCAAAGAATAGGGGGGGTTACCAAACAAAAGTATCTGGGTTTTGACCCGCACCCACCTTAAAGCTCCTCCATTCCTGCACGAATGCTGAACCTCTTAGTCTCGCGTGGCTCGGAAGATTCATGTCGACAGCATCGTGTCAATGTCATCTTGCGGATGGCCCCTTGGGGGCAAGTGGGCCTCATGAGAAGCTACGCCACACTCAGATCCCGTCAACCGCATGGGCAAGCTCCCAGGAGTCAGGATACTCAGCAAGCGCTTGCCAGGTCCATTAAAGCTCCATTCAAGGGAAACCACCCAACAGTAACCTCTGTGAAACCCTCAAAATTATCACTTCAATGGACCCAGCCAAGCGAAGCCCAGCACAATTCCTTCAAGCAGATGGCGCTTCACAACAAACTCGCCCGGTTGACTCCTTAAGCGGGGTGGGTACCCTCCCAACATGGAAGTGCACAGTTGCTCCCTAAGGTCCAAAGAGATCTGTGCACCATGTTGATGGGAGGGTATGGACCCCTGGACCCATCTTGGCGGTTTCGGTGCCCAGCCAGTCCCAGAGTGCCTGGAAGACGATGCTCAAACGTGCGGCTTGCTGCCTTGCACGCAAGTCACCCGTTTGAGCTCAAACAGCTGCTGGTGTGACCGCTTATGCGCAGCCGCAAGTGGACACAAAAGTGGAGCACCTTACCAAGGATTCAAAAGGCCAAACAACACAACCTTTCGCAGATGTCAGTCTTTTTGGGGGTCATCTCAATGGAACACAGAAAGCAAACCACAGTAGGAAAACTTAACTTCTGCCTACAGGCCCGCCAGATCTCCGGGAAAGCTCAAAAGGAGAAAGAAAAAAGCTGAACAAGTTGCATTCTGTGCAGCTTTGTTTCAGACCGCTTGGGCCTTGAAAGCCCACTACTGCTCACTGACTCACGCCTGGCACCATGAATCCAGTCAATCCCGTGCGATGGCAAGATCTCATTGAGGTCTGGATGGCGTCGAGGTCCGATCACCCAGCTGGCTGTGACCTCCCTCAAGCTAGGTGCAAGGATGTCATGATAATTTGTGCGAAGCACATTGGGGTTGATCAATGTTCCATTTAGCCCCCAAATGACCATGGGTAACTTTTCCCATTCAGTGGGAGATGTCATCTTTTGGGTGGGTTTCCCCAATGGTTATCCCATGTAACGAACCTTTTGATCAACCCCACGTCATGTGGGGGGGTGCTGAATATGGCTCCAAGAGTATTGAGCCCGTGTATTCCAACGCCCGTAGCGGAGGGTTGATGTCTATGCCCCATAAATTCGCAACCAGAAGTGTCATTTTGGTTCAGTACAAGGTGCAAGGTCTGAATAGCGGTCTGACAATGCCCTCATCGCCCATGGCAGGCATATTAGATCTCACAAGTCCTGAGTAACCAGCAACTCCCCACTGACTTGCTGGCCAAAACTTTTGCAGGGTGACCTCCCTGATTTCACAGGAACCTTTAGGGCCGACTCCAGTTTCCATTTAGGGAAGAAACCATTCCTTTTGCCCCAATTAATTTTGACCATTCACGCTGTGTAAGCTTGTATAGCTCCCGCAAAGAATGAGACGGCTAAGGCACCAACTGCACTGCGCATCCGCATGGTTCGCATGAGTGCTTCCCCACATGAGTGGAAAGGTATCTGCTTGGAAAAGCTCCATCTTGATGTCCGAACGTGCTGGTCTATCACGACGCTAAAGAGCCTGAAGCCCAAGGAACGTTCGCCCCAAATAGGTTCCGGGATTGGGCCACTGGGCTCCGTGGCTTTTGGTCTAGGTGGAAACAAAATGGTAAGACTTGTGCAGGCCCTTACTACCCCTTTGCTAAACTAGGAAGAAGCCTTCTGGCTTGGTCAACAGGGGTAAGGCGCAGTCTATCTGCCCCAAGATCGCCCCATTGCGAAGTCTGGTGGTTCGTCAGCTCAATGCATAACAAATACTGACCGTCAGAACTAAGTCTGCGACGGAAACTGCCTGGTGAAAACATGCTCCGATTTCCCTCCTTGTAGAGCTGGGGGGCGATGGAAAAACACAACTCCCCACCCGCGGTTTTTGGATCCAAAAACCGGGGTGGAATGTGTGTTGTCCAGTTTCCCCACGGGGACGTGACCGCGTCCATCCGATTCATCCTGCCCTCCACGATTTTGGTCAAGAACTTTTCGAAAGTTCCAGCTAACAGCCAGAGGCTGTGAGACTCACTCAGCTGCGTCCTGTCAGGGGGAAGCAAGCCGCATGGGTCAAAAGGTCAATCCTCCTTCACGATTCAGTTCGCAGTTCGGAGTTGAGTCCCAGAAAAGGCTCTGGACACATTCCAAATGATTGCGCAACCTCGAAGGCAGGGCACCATTTCGCTGTCGGACTTTGAGACCCCCGTCAAACAAGATTGATGGAAAAAAGAGGACTGGCAGCGCACACAGCATTCATTGAAGGGAATTCTTGGATGATTCACTTGAGCCCCTGAGTGGTTTGGCAAAAATGGTGCTGTTCCCAAAGGATCTGAATATGTTTGGCACAAACTTTGGGTGCAGAGAGCAACTTGAAAATTCTAGATGAGCTCTGCAGAAAGTGAAGCTAAACTGTCTAGTAAGGTGGAAACGGCCATGTTCAAAACATCAAAGCAGAAAGCAGCCAAACTTTGAGTGGAAATATTGTTCCTTGGTAACACACCCAGTTGAGTAGAGATACTTTTTATCGTGAAGTCTTGCGCTGAAACCCCAAACCATAAAACATGTAAGGTTGTTAGATTTTGCCCAAAAAGATCTATCCCCTAGAGGTGTCCTGATTTACCAGTGACAACTTAAACAAGCCCAGTCGGAACACTTGGAACAGCACCCTAAGCAAATGAACATGGGACATTAAATTTGCCAAGATCACCTGAACGCTTTGAGGTCTTGACCAGCTGGTGTTTCCTTCGGTCGCCCGCGAAGCAGCAAAGCGTCTAGTCGTCTAGCGCCCTTTGCGCAGACCCAACGTTAACCTGACACGGCAGTGCGTTGTGTTGCTGGTCAAAAAAAAATGGGGCTCTTTGGATTTGTTTTGGGGGGGGAGGCCTAGAGGAAACCATTGGGAAACCAAAAACATGTTCCCCTAAGGGCCAGCCTTTTGGATCGCTTAGTGGATGTCCGTGGGGCAGAAGGCAAAAGGGGCACTCCCGTTTGGTTTAAAGGGGAATCCCGAAAGGAAAAAGAGAAGGGCATCACCCGAGGTGTGGGCTTTACATGTGGAATCGCTCCTTTGGACACGAGTTGAGCGAAAACGATGCCGGAGGGCTGGGAGAAAGTCGGCCGTGAAAAAGCACACCCCACCTGAGTCACTTGCTCAGAACCCGATATTATGATCGTAATCCCAGAACCACGCTTCAAGAATTCAGAGGCGGATATCCGCCTCTATTTATGGTTGGGATAATATCCCTTACTAACCTTCAGCTACCCCGGGTTTTGAGCACGTGGCTCACCTGCTTCCTTCACACGCACAAACCACACTGGTTTTTCGCTTCCCACATGGCCAAAAATTGACCCTTGGCGGAAGCTGAAACTGAAAAAGGCCCCGGTTCACAGAGGGCAAAAGCTGAACGCAAGCCTTTGGCGATCGAACAAAACTCCATCCGCAAGCCGTTGGATCGTTGCTCAGACCCCCCCCCCCCCCCAATAAATCAAAAAGGAGCCACGCTTGTCTTAGCGGCTTGATCCCTTCTCAAAAACTGACCTGTTCGAACAAATTCCAACACCACAAGTCCAATGGCTGAGACTCGCCAAGCCGCTTGGCTGGCCCCCGGGGTGTGGACGTTTTCTTCTTTTGTCGGAGCTCGAAACCCAGGGATTCGAAGATTTGCTTCTGGCGTCCAAGGAAAACAAAAAGGAAAGAAGGAAAACAAGAAGAAGAAAAAAATGAAACCAAACCGGGCGCGCAAGTGTTGCTTACCGCTTGTCGCCACCAATAACATAGGCACAAAAAAACAGAAGGAAAAGACACGGCCCTTGCGTGTCTCGCGTGCGAAAACGACCGCGGTTCCGTTGCGTCGGCCTCAATCATGCGGGTCTCTGCCGCTTTGGCGAGGGCTCGCCCACGCGCCCTGGCTGAAGCTTCGATCGGCAGCGTTGGATCGGATACTGTGGATGGAGAAAGTCCTGCACCACGTTGACACCACTTTGACACCACTTTGACACCTGTCGGTATTTACAGGGGAATTCTCTTTCCATGGTTTCTTAGGTGGTGCGAAATGCATGTTGCAACCATCCACTTTGGGGGTTACCCCTGTTTCTTGGGCAAAACAGAACGGACGCCCCGGAGGGAAGCTGAAGCTTGAGACATGAGACTCGAGATAGACTTCAACCGCGCAAACAACAACAACAAAAAACGTATAGGGACATCAACCCCGGAATTCAATCGGTGGACCTTGTGATCCAAAAATGAAACTTGGAAAGAACATCATTTGCTCGGAGACTCATTGAACGGGTTCTAGCCAACGCGTTCAGGACAATCACGTGTTCGTTCTTAGCATATTCGGAACGCATTTAAGTTAGAACCCATTTAACATGAGTCACTCAAGCCGGATATCATTCCACTTCATGGAAAGCGGGATCGCAAGAAGGCCCATCAATTTGCCGGCCGCGAGACGAAAGCAGCCGGAAGCTTCCGGCTGCTTGGTGCTTGGGGAGCCGAAAGCTGCCTCTGCATCCGGGAAGGGAAGTCAGAAAGCATCCGGAGCAGAAAAAAAAAAGACAAAGGAATAAAGGAAGGAAGAAAGGAAGGAAGCAAGAAAGGAAAAAAACAAAGATAGATAGAAAATAGACATATAGGACACTAGAAAAAGTGAGACCTGGCCGCCCACTCCATCAGGATCAAACCGCTCTCCACGATGCCTCCGTCCAAATGGTTCCGCTTCTGCCTTGGTCCCGACCCCTCCGATTCCCTGCCCTGCTCCGAAAAAGACCCAAGATTCGTGGCCCCTAAAAAACCCAATGCGTGTGTCGCAAAGCTACGGCCGAAGCGAATCCCAAGCCGGCCTGGGCTCGAGGGCTCAAAATAAACCCGGAAAGCACCGCTTGAAGCAAAGTGACTCCGCCAGGCTCATTCTCAAATTGGGACCCAGAGCGAGGGGTCCACGATGTGTGATTTTTCTCGTGCCACGCGGCATTTGCTTCGCCTGCTCACGCTCGGCTCGGACCTCCTCCTAGGACTGCCAGACTTCGAAGGCTTACAATTTCTGGCCCTCTTCGGATCAAATAAAACAGGCCCCAGGTTATAAAACAGGCCCCTCACCTGGAAAAACCTGGGGCCCCTGGACCAAGTAACCTCTTGGAAAAACCTGGGGCCCCTGGACCAAGTAACTGTGGGTTGAAAGGGACAATGAAAGAATCGGGGCAAGAGGGAACAAGAGCAAGGAAGGTTGACCCATTCCCGTTTCTCCACGCCAAACAAGGCCCCAGTCAACCCCCTTCAACTACATATTCGTCTCAGAGTTCCAATATGAAGGGTAAAAAAAGGTGTGCACGGAAAAAAACAGAGTCTGTTCCAAACTTAGTTTATTCAACATAAAACATGTTTGGGAGGAGATGCTAGGAGTAGGAGCCCCGAACTGGGTGGTGAAACCTTTACTCCACAAGCCACATCTGACCAAGGCTCGTCTGTGGGCTTCTGGTCATCGACTACCAAGAATTTGGTCCACTGTGGTGCTCATACACTTTTTGGCTGCCACTAAAATGATTAGTCTTCCCAAAGAGTGTTGTAAAGTAAAGTCCCAACTGCGTTCAACGATTTATTGAACTAACCCAGTTGCTCAAGACAACACATGGAATTTGTTGAACTAACCCAGTTGTTCAACCTAGTTGTTCAGCACATGGAAGCCTTCCTTCCCTCCGCTTCTCATACATTTCCGCGTACAAAAGAAAGCCCCGTCCTCGGCCTTCTCCCGGCGCCGCTTCACGTCCAGCTCCTTCAGCGTGCGCTGGTCCGCCGGCATCTTCAAGTCGCTGGGCTTACACGGCAGCGGCTCCTCAGCCCGCGAAGGTCGAGCCGCGCATGGCCCGCCCTGGTCGTTTGCGAACCGCCCCGTTGCTCCACAAAGGGAAAAGGTCATGTGATGCTTAAAAACGTTGCAACATGGAGGTGCTTCATGTGATGCTTAAAAACGCACACTTGCAACATCGAGGTGCTTCAGATGGGCAAGTAGAAGGCAAATGTGGGGGGAAATACAAGTCTGGTAAAATACAAGAATCATAGACAAATCGGTTGTACAAAATGCGACAAACAGCGTCCTGTCAAACCAACTGGAGAAGATTTATTTAAAAAAAAATAAATTAAAAAAAAAATGTGTGTGTGGCTTCAAGCAACTAGAAGATGCCATCATGTTGCCCCCTCATTACAGAGGGCGCCCCAGGGAACGGCTTGCGGCTTCCTGCGGATGAACAAAGTGCGCTTTCCATTTGGTAGGCGGGTTGTCCCATTCATGGGGTGTCATCCATCCTAACTGGTGCAGTTCAAGGTGCCCAAAGCACCTGGAAATAAAAGGTTAACCTTTCGGGGCCATGACTAAACATGGAAACCAAAAAGGGCGAACCGAAAAAGGTCCAAAGGTTGGCTTTGGGCATTCGAGGCATTTCAGAGACTCCATGTGGGTCCACATATGACACATGCCAAAACTTCCCCAGCGCTTCGATCTCGCCGGCCACGTGGCCGACTCGAAGAAGGGGTGCTGCACCAGGCCAGCCTTCGTTGCAAGTTGCGAGCCGCTCGACGGGTCTTTGGGACTCGGAGTCCCACCGATCTGAGGCTGACAGGTGTCCTTTTAGGTTGGAAATAGATGGATTTCCCTGGTAGATGAGAAAAAACCACCAGGTGAACCAGGAATCGCCATGTATGTTTCGACCAAGACAACCAAAAAGGACACCTATGTGGCTGACTCGTCGTTCTTAGAGCCTTTATCCCTTTTTCCTACATCGAGAAATGGGAAAGGCCAAGGCCCAGCTTCTAGAGGTCCACTGGAGAACTGGCTTTGCCTGGCACCCACAGGACAGGTTGCGGCAGAGTTTTCATTTGCTTACAAAACTAGAGAGTCCTTTAAGGTGGTTGCTTTTAGCTAGCCAAACACTGGTGAGGATTCCTCGCTGTTGGGCCAGCTCGCTTTTTCCCTTCTTTCCGAGCGGGAGGTGCTGATTCCTGTCTTGGCATAAAGGCTGGTTTTGACCGAGCTCAAACTGTCCGAGTCCCGGGCCTTCCAACAAACAATACCGGGCCGGGCCCAAACCGGGGAAACGGGGGAAACGGGGGAAACGGGGGAAACGGGAGAAACGGGGGAAACGGGGGAAACGGGGGAAATGGCTGGTTGGGGGGGGGCGTATTGGGAACAGCACCTTGTGAACTCATTCAACTCGAGTCTCCCTTGGTAGGGATGATGTTTTCCGCTCACTGTGATACTATGAAGCCTTTGTTGAAACCCTCATTGAAGAAGTTGACGGGAAGGCCGATTCCCAGATCAATCAAGAAGAGACATTGGGACATGCCCACAGCCTTGTCTCAGAGCCACTAAAAATCCTAAGTTTTGTCTGGAGAACCTCCCCCCTTTTGCCTTCCGCAAATGTTCTTCTGTTTTGGTATCCTTTGTGGGTTGTTTCAAGGACAATTTCAAGGGAAGCCTTTGAACCAACACCTTAGCGCCGCAGGTAAACAACAAACACGCACTTCGGATTGCTTAGGTTGACCTCTGTGAGGAAAGGACATGGGGCCTGTCCTCAGAGGCCCATTTGCAATTCGTCGTTTGAAGAGTCTTCCACTATCATCTTCCAATTTGTGGTCCCAGTTTCGGGGCGAAGTGGTCCATTGCATCTTTTGGGCCATGGTTTTCCATCAAAACCCACCCCATTTATCCACGCCAAAAACGGGGACAAAGGCTCCCAAAAAAGGCCTTTGGTTAAGGCATTCTTTGCAGGCCCCGGGTTCTCGGTTCTCCGTGGAGCCTTAGAGTACCAAAAAATCACACACAAAACGCAGAGCACGTCGAGCCACGGGCACCTGTTTTGTTTTTGTTTTCCCCCCGTGCCAACCCGGGTAGAAACCCATCCATCTCTTTTGTGCGCAAAAGCGCCATGCTCTCTTTTCGAGAAGGCCGCTTCACAAAACGTGGAAAAGAAGCACGCAGGTTCCTTCCTTGTTGCGAAGTCTAACAACTCGTTTAGCAACTGTGAATGTACCAAATCCTGCAGTTGGTAGGTGGCGTCTCCCAGTATTCATAGGGCATCGTCCATCACTGATGTCTGACGTGGATTTTGTCCATCTGCAGCAATGAAATAAACGTTTGAAGGGCGTCTTTGAACGACCTCACCAGCGCCAACAGCATCAAGGGTCGCACGGGAAAGAGGCCTACGGCGAATGCAGCCCACAATTGAAGCCAGGCAGCTGTTGCAATTGGCGCCCTTTTGATTCTTTACTGATTGCTGCAATCCCTCTGAGGCAAAGGCCGAATCGATTCGCTGGCTTGGGTCCAGGTGCAGTGTCGCCTGGCAAGCTGGGTGATTTATCCCAGACACTCCATATGCGGAATATGTACCCACATTTACCCTCCGAATGGGTCGAATGTTGGGGTATATTACCTGGCTGGAGTGTGTGGTAAGAGCGATGTTGAAACAATTCCTCCTAGTTGGTCGGGTGTTCAGACATGAAGACATCGGCAAAAAAGGGATGCAGTTTCATTTGCCCTGCTTCAACTGTGCGGGAGAACAGGGAAGTCCTGAGCTAGGTTGGAAAAGCATGATGTATTGAAGGTTGTTGGGAAACCCCACTTCTGTGATAAAAGTTACAGGGGAACAAGCCATTCGACGGGACTTAATTTCACTAACAGTGCAAATCCCACACCCATTTATGGCTGGGATTCTCCCTTCCTGCCCTCCAACTATCCGGGATTTGATGGTGACTCAATAGAAGAGACACACTCCTAGCTTCGGGCGCATTCCACCTTCCCCTTTAAAGGGGGAACAGGTGGCGCACCGTCGGTTCACCCCTCCCCCTTTTGGTAAGAAAATCCCAGCTCTCTGAGCATGACAAGTTCCAAACATTCAAAGAACTGTGCGAGGTCCAACACCAACGACTCTCCACTGAGCTCTTTGTTGCTCTTCGAGTGTTTGATTTGCCTCTCTTTCTGCCTTGGCTCAGTCCCCTACCATTTCCGCAGTCCCCTACCCACACACCTGGCCAAACCTCCGCGCGTCCAGCGCGCGCGCGCGCAGCGTTCGTTCGTCAGAAGCGGCCTTGAGCACATCCACGGCGGTCTGGCCGTGCTTCACGGCCAAGTCCCGGAAGACGTCCTTCTGGTCGAAGTTGATCTCGGAGAGAAAACACATGTTGAATATATATATATATATATATATATATATATATATATATATATATATATGCACACGTCTTTTGAGGGTACCCTTAAAAATAAGCTCCGGGAAACCAAAAGGAAAGTGACATATTCCCGCAATATGGGGTCGCAATGAAATAGTACAGGAATAGGGTGTGCTAAAAGTTTAAACCGTGATACGTTGTTTATAATGACTAAAAGGAAACCTAGTTTGTGCAGAAGGACATGGGAAGATTGCGGTGGTCCCCCATGATCACTTCGGAGCAGGGGGGTATTGCGGTCTATTTGGGTAGTTTTCCCAGGTCCGAAAATGCCCAGGCATTGATGTTGCGCCAACCACTGAGAGTGTTGAAATGGTTTGGCGCCCGGGACATAACCCACCAATGGCTGGGTTGCCCCCACTGAAATCCTGAAAGCGGATTGCCTTTTCGTCCTCGGAGCCAGCCATTTCTGCAGGAGCATGGTGGAAAACGGGCGGGTCCCTGGAGTAGGTCCCAATGCGTGCTTGTTGCGTGTTTCCGTTTTTGCCTTGGGATTTACCCGGTCTTTGCCTAGAAGCAGCTGGCTCGGAAAGTTACAAGGTCTTCCCCGCGCCAAAGTTGGCCGCAAGAAGACCCAGGAAAGGGAGGCGAAGGCTAGCTGAAGCGCTTCGTCCCCGTCGGTCTTGTTGGTGTGGGCGGAGATCGACCCCCAGTTTCTTCTTCCCGAATGGGTTGACGGAACTACTCAAAAAGGCCAAGACCCTGAGATCAAGTCTTGCAGGGGACCACACAAATGCAGACATCTGGTCAAAGTCTACTTGGCGGAGTTTCCACGGATCCCAGCTGAGGTCACGCCGCGAGAAGCCACCAAACTGCCACACGCTGATTGAACCACAGCTTCCTTTGCAGCTTTGGCAGCGTAGGTTATCGAGTTTCATCCATCCCAACAGGCGCGTGCATTTTGTCCACGGTTCTCTCAGTGGCTGAGTTGTGGGCTCTCGCCTGACCCTACGGAGCCGCCCGGATTCGTTACCCGCAAAGTCGAACCCATCCAAAAACAGCGTGCCCGCGTCAAGATCGTGGCTCCCTGCATAGTTTTGGGGTCGTCTACATTCAAATCCCCATCAATGTCAGCTTGAGACAAATCAGGAGAATCATACTGAGTGGACATGCGCGAAGTATCGCAACTCACCACCAACCTACAATAATGTGCCAGGTCGCAATCGACCTTGAATCACCCCTAAACTGCATCTATTCCAACCAGTAAAAGGTGATTAAAATTCCGAGAACTTGCCACTGCCAAGAGGAAGCGGCCACACCTTCAGAATACAACTTTCAGAGGACCAGTTTGGCGTGTGGTATCTGTGGAGCCCCATTGTCGCTTGGCTTGTCAAAATGCCGCAGGGGAGTGTTCAGCCTGTGGGTAGTGGCTTGCTTGAAGATTTGGTTGGCTCATTCTCACATTCCCCAAGCAAGAGGGGCTATAACTTGGGAGGCCCCTTTGGTGGATGGATTTTGAGAGACACCGGGGTTCTTGTCAGAAAGACACCACAACCAATCCAAATCGGACCGCATCGCCAAAGCGCATTCCGGCTCGTCTGCGGCCAGAACTTATCCCAGTGTGGCAGCTTCCGAATGCTCTGCGGCCACTGCTCCTGTGCAACCGCCAGCTTTCTTCGCTTCTTTCAGTGGGCAAAGGCCACCATGGCCACTTTACTACATTCACCAACCTGATTTGACTGGGTTGCGGTTGCCCAAACTACACAGAGAGGAGAGGTGCTTAAGTCGAGGAAACGAAAACATCCAAACAAGCTTGGTACGTGAGGGGGTTCAACTCAAACAGGCATGCGGAACACTCGCGAAAACTGTGCTCTGGCAGCTGCAAAATTGAAAAGGTTTGTGCATCGGGTCACAAGTGAAGCCTAGCCATAGAAAAAACTCTAACCTTTTCTTGACCTTTCCGCGGTTTCGACGCATGGAACCAGCATCTCAAATGGCTACGTATCTTTTCCTTGCATAGGGAACCACCTGAACAGTGGTGGATGTGAATCCCCCACCGAATTCCGATGTCCACGTCTCTTAAAACGCCTTCATGCCGAGGTTGCACCTACAGCGGGTCTGGTATGGCCTCTCCAAGTGGGGGCTCATGGCGGAACATGGTTGCCCTTGTGATACCAAAGTAGGCTGTTATGCCTCACTTCACCAGTCAACTTTGGTCCACTCGAGTGACATCCTCAAATTGGGTGGGTTTGCAGCAAAACCGCCCTTAGAATATGCCGTTCCCGTACCGGAGATGGGAAAGTGAGTGAGCCCACTGCTTTATCGGGGAACTTTGTGAGTCCCATGGACAAAGGATACGTCCGCTTCCATTCGTCCAGAAGGCGCGTCCTCCTTGTGCGCTGCGAAGCGCATTCGGATGCGTTTGAAGACCTGCTTGGCCCAGGGGTGTGGGAGAGGGGGGTGGCTCCTTGATTCTTTCGTGCTGTGCTCAGCAGGGAATGACCCTGAAAACCATCTACTGAGCACCAGCAAGTTTTCTTGAATCCCGAAGAGGGGGGCCCACCAAAGCAAAACATTGTCTCTAATGATCGTGGGCTCCGCGAGAGTATGTCCCTCTAAGTTAGAGCCAGTGTCAAATTCACCGACTGGATTGACCTTAAATGAATGCCCGAGTTCATCACGTGAAGCCGGCATGCTGGAAATGCCAAAGATCCGCCCTTCAAGACGACACTGATGGGAAGGCAACGGTTCCCCGGCAAGGTAGAAAACCCCAGGCTGGAGTAAAGTTGCACTAAAAGCAAAGAGAAAGCACAACCAAAAAAAAGAATCCCAAGCACGAAACCAACATGCAAATCAGAAAACAAAGAAAAAGCACTAGGAAACAATGTGCGGTCCCCATAACTGCATCATGTTTTTCAAAACCAATCTTCCACAACCTTACCACTGCAGGTCAGCAGAAAATCCTTGTCACCTAGTGCACAAAAGTAAATATCTAAAGATGTAACCACCAACAACACGATTTGTCAACCAAGTTATTCCCCTTATCAGACACCTCCAGGGTTCCCTACATTTCTCGCACCAGAGGAAACTCACCAAACATCAGCCCAGGTGATGTTTTCTTAAACCACCCATCAATGGGAATCTGCAAAATGGCACCTAAAGCTACTTTGAGCTTGATCGTATGTTTTGAGAACCCTCAGATCCCGGAGGACCCGCAAAAAAAAAACTCAGGTGATATCCCCAACAACACGCAGTGCTCGCACCACCCCGCAGCCCTTTGTAAGACTACCCAGATCCTTCCTGAGCTTTTGCTTTTGCAGAACTTTCGCAGAAATCTCGCGGAACCTTACCTCAGAACCGCCCCAAACCACCCCAGAGCCTATCTGGGCAGAGACCCCATCCCTTTCTGGGGAAAAACAGCCCAGAGCCTCACCAGCACTGAACCTCCGGAACCTTCCTTGAACCTTACACCTGCCTGCACCAGACCAGCCCGGACTCCCAAACCTTCCTTGAACCTCACACCTGGCCTGCACTAGACCACCCGGAACCTCTAGAACCTGCCTTGAACCAGACCACTCCGGAACCTCCGGAAACCTTCCTTGAACCTCAACCTTACACCTGGCCTGCGCCAGACCACCCCTCCGGAACCTTCCTTGAACCTTACACCTGGAACCTTCAACCTCCGGAACCTTCCTTGAAGCTTACACCTGGCCTGCACCAGACCATCCCGGAACCTCCGGAACCTTCCTTGAACCTCATGGCCAGACAGAACCTCCGGAACCTGCCTTGAACCTACCAGACCACCCGGAACCTCCTTGAACCTTACACCTGGCCTGCACCAGACCTCGGGAACCTGCCTTGAACCTTACACCTGGCCTGCACCAGACTTTTCGGGAACCTCCGAAACCTCTTGCTCAAACCTGACTCCAGAGCTCCCCCAAGCCACCCCCAAACCTTATCTGGGCTGAGACCCCTTAGCTTTCAGCTCAATGATTTCTTTGGTCAATCGAGGGGTTGCCAAAGACCCCAAAAAGTCGCTGGAGGCTTCGAAAAGTGACGGAATCCCAAAGGGGGGCATGTACATTTTGGAGGTGGGTAGTTGAAACAGAGCCGCAGAGTTCCTTGGAGTTCCCCTAAGGTTGGGCTTGTTAGGGAGCCTTACCGGACCCCCCCCCCTCCCAAATACCTTTTTCTTCTTAGTATTTTCCCTATGTATCATATACTGCTTTTGTCCACCCCCCACAAAAACAGCCTCTAGGGATTTCCTGAGGGAGGCTTCCCGCCTGGACCTCCGAGCTGTCCGGGAAGAGAGGGCCCTGCACCAGGAGCTCCCCGATGATGCAGCCGGCGCTCCTAAGCGAGCGCGACGTATGATACAAGGGAGGCAGGCGTGGAACTTCACCAACCCGGCGGTTTCTGGAGAAACGTGCTTTTTGTTGTTTTGTGTTTCTTGTTTAGAAAGAAAGCTTGAGAGACTTGCTTTTGTGTTTGATGTTTTTTGTGTTGTGTTGCTTAAAGAAGGAGAAAAAAAAGGCGGAGCCCAAGCTGGCTGCGGCTTCTTTTCCAACCAAACACGAAGCCCGAGAAGGTGAGACATAGTCATCCCATGGCGCCATGGTCAAAGCTCTGTAGGCCATGGCCGTCATGGTCCATCACTGTCCCGACCAATTCAGGAACCTGCGGATTTCACTTGGTGTATCCAAGGTGCCCAAAGGAGCTGGGGTTCAAACCCCAGCCGAGATCGAACCCAAGAAAGGAGCGAATTCCGAAGAGTGCCAGGGCCCCGAGAGACACAATCAAAACCTGTCATTGAAAGGAGTCCGTCTAAAGCCTGAGTAGCATCACAAGCATTGGAGTGGCCGTCCCTTCTACCCTTTGATTGCGGCTTCTCGAAAAACGACACCATCTCTATGTGGGGATGCTTCAACTGCCCACCGGATTGGCTTGTCGAAAAACGACACGATCTTTCTGGGGATGCTACCGAAACCGTTCAAAAAAAAAAAACCATCCCCGCGTCTTTGGCTTCTCCCGAACAGCAAACGAGCATCCATACGTCCACGCTGGGGTCGTACTTGCCGGAGCCCAGTAAAAGCTCCGGCGGACGGTACCTCAGCGTGAAGCGCGTGACACCGAAGGAATCGAAGATCTCCCCTGAAACCAGAAGGCGTGAACCAAAATTGGTTGAAACTTGTTGGTGCTTTTGTGTTTTCCAAAATTGGTTGAAACTTGTGTGGTTGGTAACTTAGGAACCATGAACTGGTTGGTAACAATTTTAACCTAAACCATTTTAGAAAAGACTTAATTCTTGGCGTTGAACCAAAATTAGTGGAAACTTGTGGGTGCTCGTGCACGAGTGGCCGTTCCGGGTGTTGGGCATAAACCGGAAAAAGAGTCCCTTAAAGGAAATCATAGGAGACATTTCGAAGGGGCCATGGCCATGTCTCATTCCCTCCCTATGGAACTTCGCTTGAAGTGACCAACTCGCCTTCGGCTCCTTTTCATAGGCCAACCCCCCCCCTAATCCGGGGCCGCGCCAGGTGCGAGGGCCTTGGACGAAGGTCCCAAAGCCCAAGGCGTTGCAACTCATGACGCCCAAAAGCGAATCCGAGCGAACCAACCGGCGAAACCCGGGTGTCATGGGACGCCCCGGCCCATGCTTGGCAGAATCCGGAGCATCGACTCAGACGCTCCTTTCATAGACAATACGACACAGTCAGGACAATGCCTTTCGACCGTTGTTTCTTCTTTTTAGACTCCTGAGCAGGCGGGTGTTCTTCAGGTCGCCCAATTTGGAAACATTCAAAAGGGTCTCGATGACTTCATCCCAAAGCCGGGGGTTCAACAGCTCTTGCCCCATAGCTGGAGCTGGGTCGAAGTGGATTGCGCATAGTTCGCGCCTCCACTTTCGGGCCTTCTGCATCGCACCCCACTTCTAGAACATGGTACGCGCCCAACATCGAGGCAATCCGAATAGCCCAAGCAAGCATCCACTAGAGCCCCAAGAAAGCCACATGCCCCATTCCCAAGCCTCAAAACAGCCGCGCGGCGCCCAAAAAAGTGTTGGCTGGCTCTTCTGCCAAGATTGTCACAAAGGCTTGCAGCGGTTTGCTTGGCCCTTGCTAGAGCCCACGTGAAACCATGTGTTGCACCCCGTACAAAGAGCCCCACAGGGCCACAGGGCTTCACCCAGTGTCCCTTCCCGGTCCCAACTCACCGACCAATCAAACCTTCAGAGTATGCTTTAGGCCAGCCCTTTCCGCCCTCCTTTCTTCTCCTTGAAAATGTTGAAAACCCTTTTCTCACAACCCTTGCCCCGAAGCACACCACCGATCCCAGTTTGGGGCTCTATTTCAGTCTCCTTGTGCCGGAGCGCCACAACATGACGCTTGCTCCCATCATTTAACACCCTCACCGAAAACTTGAGAAAACCACCTTCGCCATCAACCCCAACCCCTTCTTTGAACATGTTGAATAACCCGCACTCTCCTCTTGGCTTTTCCCTTGCAGTCCCCTCCCCCTTTCCGAGAGAAACACTGAACTCCTCCCAGCTGGACCAAAAAAGACACCTGTCGCCCTATGCCTTCCGGGCATAGGAGGCTCGCCCCGACGAGGCCGCACTTTTGGGCCTTCGGCCTTTGGCTGAGGCGCCACAGGGTGATGACCCGCACGGAGTAGCTCTGCGGCGTCCGCTCCACGAAGTCCCGGGACAGGCCGAAGTCGCAGAGCTTCAGCTCACCCCGGTGGGTCAGCAGGATGTTCGACGGCTTCCTCGACGCCGCGTTTCTTCGTGGGTCACGGGACCCCAAGCAAGTTGTCCGGCTGGGGTTTTGGGGTGTCCCTAAAGGAAAACCAAGCAAAAAGGGTACCCTCGAAAATGACACGCCCATAGCGCCCCCTTTAACATCAACACCAAGAGGAAACTCATCTAGTCGCCAAAAAGGCAAGAATAAAAACCACCAGTGAGACGAAGAAGACGAGACATTGTTCCAGCTTCGTGGGAAGAGCACGCGACTTGTGGTTCTTTTTTTGAGGCCACCCTTGGGATGTTTAAAGGGAAAGCAAAGGGATATTCTACAACTTAGGAGGGTTGCCTATTTTGAGACATGCCCATATTTGCATGAGGGCTCTCAAAAACTGATCAAGAAAAGCCCGACTTTGGGTTGGGAAATACTTGCGAAACAAAAGGAAACCCTTGTCAGGGGCTCAAAAACATGTGGGCCCCCTTACATCACCCACCAAGGTACATTCCTCTTTTTTCTGTGCCAGAACGGTGATCACAGAAGCCGGAACTGCCCCAACATACTCAACTCTTCATAGATCGTTGGGGAAAAGCGTGTTCCCAAAACCTGGCTGTGGTGTCCTTTGGGAAAAAAGATGTCACTGGTAAACGACTAAAGCCATAGTGAAGCCAGTGCAATCTCATGTTGAAGATTCTTCCCCATAGCTCCTGTGAGAAGCGGTCCGTTTCTTTGCCCTGATTTGGCTCGAAACAGGAAACCCCGTTTTACTCGCTGGTGCCAGCAGGAATTGGTCCGGGGTCCCCTTAAAGGAAAAACCATGGGATGCTTTGTCTCGGGGCTCTTTCCATGTCTCATTCCATTCCATTCCGCACTTTGGCCATGGCTCATGGTACCCCAAGAAAATCGAGCCCCCGCATCGAGGCACACTCAGAGACCCCCTCCTGGGGGTCCCATAAGTTCAGACAACGAAAGGCCGGCTTCGCAGGTTGCGAGCTGAGTGTGGAGGGGGCTCCCGGGGCGCCGTGTCGCATCCAGCTTGCGGCTGGCTTCTTCGAAACTTCCCCTCCCAAAAAAAAACAAAGTGTCCTCTTTGTTTTCTTTTTTTTCTTTTTACGGAGCCTTGCGAACTGAGGGCTGCCAAAGAAACAGAATGGGGCTGCGGGATACGTTAAGACCAACTTAAGTCAAGTTTCTGAGCCACACACACACACACACCAAATGGACCTAAAGGCCCCACGGAGCTCATGGACTCGCTGACAAAAGCCCACAAGGCGGCCAGAGGCAAGCCGAGATGGGGTAAGCAACAAATACAAATGAAAAGGCGTGGTGAAATAGCTCAATGATTATAGTGGTGGTTAAAATAAATGCATTGATGTACAGCTTATTCCAGTTGCATGCGCCTTGTATTGCAGCACATGGGCAGCTGATGAAGAAATTCTGAAGTCTGGCACTTTCAGTTTAGCGGCCTCCCGGAAAACATGCTCTCGCCGGGTATTACAGCAAGATAAGATAGCCCCCTGTATTAACCTGCCAATGCACCGATTGGCAGAAGCATCGTCAGGGATATCGTGCCAGAAACCTCAGAATTTTCCAAGTGCGCGTGGTAGACATGGTTAAATACTAAATACCCTCTTTGCATCCATGCGCAGGTGCCGTATGTTGCACAGTTTGCCCTAAGGGGTTTCGGATGTGATCTCGGGAACCGGGCACTCTGAAATGGGACACCGACTTTCCGAACATGATCCCCGGGAAAGTCATCCAACATTTTTGCAAATGTGGGGCTTCCCAGGAAAATAATCCAAGACGGAAACATGGTTGGTGTCCCTGCTGTTGCCGTGAAACAACCATCCAAAAGGGATCAACACCTGGCATTCATCCAAGAAACACCAGGGCTGCCGCACCTATTCCGGGTGACTGTCCCCCAGCTAAACTAACAATTTTTCCGAAGGGCGTCCGTCTAAAACAAAAGGACGCAAAGTTGCGGCTCACTTGGCTTCCCTTGGTCGATTTCCTGTGAGTCTCAAACTCCCAAAGAAGGCAAGCCGGTTGGTGTCCGGGTCTCCCTGCAAAAAACGCCTCACAAAACAAAAAGGCCACCGGCTTGTTTCCCTGTCCCCAGAGCCGACCAACTCAGAAGCTGTTGGAACATCACCAGATGTTTGGCCTTCCGTCTGACCTCCATTCAGCAGAATCGCTCCCCTTTCCTCTGGCCGAGACACAGGTCCCGGTGCATCACGCGGTTCAGGTGGCAGAAATCCAAGGCTTCGGCAAGCTGCTTGCCCACGCACCTCGGCAAGGAAACCAAACCCAGACATTACTTGGGGCTGTCAGTTCTTTTGGAGTTGGCACCCAATTATTTGCGGTTGTTTTTTGAAACAAAAAGGAAAACCCTAATTTGGGGGTTCAACCTTAAAGACAGAGCCACTTGTAGCTTCCTTTGCTGGGGATCCCGAGCTGAATCATTCGAATGGGTTGGGGTACCGGAAATCAACATTCTGTACACCATGGAAAAGAATGGTAGTAATTCATGATCGAAAGTCCTTGGAATTTGTTTTATGTGTTTGCAGGCGGGAAGGATAGCCCTTTTTGGGGTGGCTTGGATTTGGGATTGAATTTTGAGAGGTGGTGTTATTGTTCTTTGGGATTGGTTTGAGTTTATATTTTTGGAAAAAGAATAAAGAGACGCAGTCCTTGTCCTAAACCTGGGTGAAAGCAGCTCTCTCTGTATCCATCGAGTAATCTCGAGGGAGAGAGAGAGAGCGAGAGAGAGAGAGAGAGAGAGAAAAAAAAAAGAGAGAGCCGAGACAGAGAGAGAGAGAGAGAGATACAGAGAGAGAAAGAGAGAGAGAGAGAGATAGAGAGAGAGAGATAGAGAGAGAGAGAGAGAGATAGAGAGAGAGAGAGAGAAAGAAAGAAAGAAAGAAAGAAAGAAAGAAAGAAAGAAAGAAAGCAAGCAAGCAAGCAAGAAAGGAAGGAACGAAGGAAGGAAGGAAGGAAGGAAGGAAGGAAGGAAGGAAGGAAGGAAGGAAGGAAGCAAAGGAAGGAATAAAGGAAGAAAATAAAGAACTGAAGAAAAGAAAGAAAGACCGAAAGAGAGAGAGAGAGAGAGAGAGAGAAAGAGAAAGAGAAAGAGAAAGAGAAAGAGAAAGAGAAAGAGAAAGAGAAAGAGACTGAGAGAGAGCGAGAGTGTTTTCTCGAGAGAGAGGTGCAAAGAGAAAGCTTCGGCGTGATATCATCGACTGGTCAGCCTCATTCCAAATGAGTAGTTCAACCAAAATTCGAGGGCCTCTTGCCCATTAGGGGTCCCTTTCAAGCAGCAACCAAACGAGTTCCTTTTCTTGCCTTTCCTGGTTGATAAAATGGGCTGGATCCTTTTGGTTTCCGTTACTCCTGGACAAAATCCTGCAGTTGGCAGGTGGTCAATCCCAGCCATCCGTCTCAATTGGCGCAGGAATTTAGAAAAGGCTCAACTGTCCTCCCGATTCCGAACAAACCAGCACGGGGAAAATTGAACAGGAAATCTGAATCGATGACTTGGAAAGACGCAACTTTGGACCCAGCCACCTGAGGTGGCTTCGTGTGCATGGTCAAAACGCCTTATGTGGCTGGACCGTTAAAGTGGTCCGTCAAACCTACCAATCCCAAGTGAAAGGATGCTGCGGCACATGTGCAATGGAAACCCAGGAAGCCTTGGAGAAATTTCTCGAGTGAGAAGCTTCGACTCAGAGAGCCTCGGGCCCGCGTTCGAGTTCTTTCAGGCGATAGATTTTGATACGAGTTGAATGCAGATCTGCAACCCCCAGTTCCAATGAAACCACCACCCGATTGATTGCAACAGACTCAGCAAGCCGGCTTTGAGAGACTTCCCCTTGAGAGTGGAAGCTTCTGTGTGTGTGTGTGTGCGCGGGGACTTGCCCAGCAAAAACACACCAAAACAAAAGTAGCTCCCTGTCACCCCCGTTACGGCGTTTAAAAAATGAACGATTCGGCAGCATCTGCGGCCAAGCTGCTTAACTTCCGCCCTTGGTCAATGCAAATCAGATTCACTGCCAGTCACAATTGGGTGAGTAGAAGTATGCCTATTAAACCGCAACAGGAGGACTTGACTGGGAGGATCGTTCCGGTATTCTTTCTTTTTGGCTTTTTGGGTAAAAGATTGATGTCAGTTCTCTGCATTGCGCTGGAAAAGATTGAGCCAAAGCCCACAAAAGGAACATATCGTTTTTGGAGGGTACCCATTTCGTGTGGTTTCAAGAGGAAACCAAAGGAAAGCTTCATTTTGCGGGGGTACCTCAAAAAAGGCACACCCAGTTGGCACCTGTTGCCAGGATTCAATTCCTGGTTGATTTTGGCATGGTGCAACCCACCTGTTCAACCCCTCAGTAAGTAGGTCACCACGTTTGCTAACTGCTGCGACTGGGGCTGGCTCCCTTATCGTCTTGCTCATAGCCTACCTAAGCGGGTTGAACACCCAACTACGAAGGTTTGTAGATGGCCGCAGCTTGGCCCAAGGGCATCTCGCGGATCCGGTTTTGCACCCCTCACACTTCTCACCTAAGGCCGCGTTCACCATGCCTCTCCGCACTTGAAAGGGAAGCCAAAGAATGGCAACAAAAGAAGTGTGGCGCCCCTTGTATTCCCTGTTTAATCACTCCAAACAGGCTACCTTCCGAAAAGACACACCAGTCTCAGCTGAAACCCGGGACTCCAAACAGTAAACCTATGGCCTATGGTAATTATTTTTGGGCTTACAATCCGTTTCAGGCTACTGGCCCCGACCCTCTTCCCCGGATGAACGTGTTTTGACGCCAAGCCGACAGACGAGCTGCGATGTTGAAGGCACCGCTTTTCGTTGGTTTCTCACTCTGAATAGGGCCACCACCAAAATCGGGTGCTGTCCCTTGGGTGTCCCTTAAAGCCAGCCCAAGAAGGGCGCGGGAGAAAATTGGGGGCTTGCCCACAGAGGTCTCATAGTGTCCAAGATGCGTCTCCTGTTTCCTGGAAACAAATGACCTTCACCATTAGGAGTTGAGAAGCCCTTGTCTCGGACCAAGCTACCAGCGGCATGCAACTAAAAGGGCCCCTCCAAAAACGGTCAGCTGCCTTTTGTGCTTCAACAAACCCTAAGGGTGCCAAGCCTCGAAAACCAGACCGGATCTTCATTCCCAGTGACTTGTGGCAACCCGCCAGCCTCTCGCTGATCAATGTCTGCGGACAAGATGCAACTTCAGCTTCTTCCTGTAGGCCACGTAGCCTGATGCGATGCCTTCTTTTCGCCCCCTCTGATCCGATGGCAAAGTTTAGATTGGAACCCCCAAGCTGTGACTCGTGGGATAGTTGCGATTCGCGTCTGAAAACATGTGTGTCCCTTCAAAGCCTCAATCCCTGAAGAACTCTTGAGCAGGCAAACGCCCTGCCTCGCTCCTTGTGGCCAATCACCCTTCCTGCGACACGTCTCTCACTTCAGAGGGGATTCCCTTGAAGCACAGAATGCCCACCGTCCCATCCACAACCCCTCGGCCTGTGAGGTCGTGTGGCGCATACCTGCCCAAGGGCATGCGAGCAGAAACATGGTGGGAAAAAAGAAAAAAAAAACTCAGGTCGGCATGGGTATGGGGCTGTGGGTCAAAACCAATGGTCCCATTTTGGGGTAGGCGAATTCACCACCCATCTTAGAACCTATTTTAGCGGTTGGATTGGTTGATGTTCACTGGGGGTACGATTTGGATTTTGACCCATGGCCACGTGTCAAAGGGGGATGTCCAACAACTGTGTTCCTTTTCGGTTGCCAAATCAACTTCCTTGGGCTCCCAAAGAGCAAGATGCCTTGCCGCTTCACCCCCTACTAGACGAGAGCGCTGACCTGCTGGTGTCAAGACCCTGGCCTATCCGTAAGGGAAATTCGGGGAAGCTGGAAAACGGAACGCATCCGATCTGCGAACTGATGGGGTGAGACGATTCGTGGGGTGAAACGCTCGTCCCAAACCTTTAGGCCCCAAGCCTCCGGCAGAGATCGAAACAAAAGCCCAAAGGAGTCTGCCTATATAAAACCTTTCAAACAAATTAAAGGAGATCCGCATCTGATTGGGATTGTGCCTTTTGCCTGGATCTTGATGGCTCATATCGGGCGGTGTAAGGGAAGTCTCCGTTGGGACAACTTATGCCAATTCCCTCATTGACATGCACAGAAAATGATTGTGAAAAGCCGTTATTTCTTTGTGGAACAGCACAGCAATGTGAGGCCCGTTTTGGGCCTGCATTTTTGGAGGCACCCATGTCACCTTGGTTAGGGAACCGAGAGGGAAACCAACACGTTCAAAAACGGCCCTACTTTCACACATAGCCAACATGATCATTTGGCCGACTGAAGATATGTTTGGCCGAATGAAGAACAAACAACAACAAATGAGCCGAATGAGTGCAGGAAAAAGTGGCGCCGGGTCCCCGGAATCTGTCTGTGATACCCTCCGCTGAGTGTGTCCAATTTCATTACCAAACGGCGGCGACCAAAGCGGCTACCGATGCTTGGCTTCCTCTTGGGCTTAGAGGGAACCCGTAGACAACTTCCAGTCTTCAGAGCCCCGAAGGCTGATGGAGTTCCATGCCCCTTCCCTGTGAGAGAGAGAGAGAGAAGGCAATCCCAAGGCTCGAGATTCTCCCAGACTCATTTGGAAAACCCCTCAGCATGGTGTTACTGCTTGCCATGAATCAGGCAGCTGAGATGGGTTTTGGGGCTCGCGGGTATGATGTTTCATTAGGCTGAGATGGGCTTTGGGGCTCGCGATACTGGGGACCCTTTGCTGGACATCAGATTAATGTCCACCCTTGAGGTAGGTATGATATTGCGCAGCTTCCCGTACTTAAAATGCAGCGGAGTCTATGTGAGGACCACTCCCTCCTTCCGGCCAAGAGGCTCGAAAATGAGATAGGTATCGCCGATGCTGCCATTGGCACCCGGCATTTCGGTGTACACGTCGACGAGCCGCACCACCTTGCGACGGCTTTTTGGGCAGGCCCCAGCCAAAGCGCAGGCGCAAAAATTACCGTGATCCGCCGGCCTGAAGTGGGTGTGCTCTTCGAAGGCGCCATTTTTGTGCGGGTTTAAAGGGGGAAAGGTAAAGCAGTCACTTTGGGGTCTGCCTATTTTGACACCCCAGGTCCCCCCGCCCCCTTTCCCGTTCCGGGCTGTATGCCGACCCTGACCCTTGGTGCGGACATGGCCACCGTAGTGCCGGCCCAATTTGCCAATGTCCAGGTCCAAGCTGACAACAGAAGGGTACTCGATTTTGATTCCCAACCCCCATGTCATCCCGAAGTTCCTGTGAGTGTTCCGTGCTTCAACCGCGATTCTCCGGGGTTTGGGGTTTGAACGTCACTTTTTGGTAGCAAGCCTTTCCCATCGAACCACAAGGCCGAGCTTTTGGGTGAGAACCTTGGGAGCTGAGCCGCGTTGGGGTGGCTAAGCTTCCTCAGCGCACGGATCTCTCGGATGGCCGTGGTGGGAAAGCCCTCCTTCTCGTGGCGGATGACCACCTGCAATGGCCGATTCGCCGGCCAAAAGCCAAGGGCTGCGTACGCCGGTTTCGGGTTGCTTTTGCTGGCAAGCCCCACGGGGAAATCTGGAAACCAGTCGAGGCCACACGCCAAGAGAAGCCTTCGGACCCTCCAGAAAGACCTGAGCCAGGCATTCCACAAAAAATCAGGGGTGTGACAGTGTGGCGTTGCGGGTGCCTAGAGTTCCCCTCAAAAACGGAGTGATGCTGACCATGTCACCCGTGCCAGCTCACATTTCCTCCTCTGGGCTCGCGGAGGTTCAAGCTAAGTGTGCCGCACCCCTCAGAGGTGATAGAGTCCCTTGGGCATCAAATCGGCATGCGCCGACGGGCTTTTTCTTGCGCCTTCTTCATGGCAACCTCGTCCTGGGTGGTCGCGCTGACTCCCTGCGAGCGGGAGGCGACTTGACACGGAACCCAAAGGGGGGGGGGGCCAAAAACGATCCTTTTAGAATGTGTTGCTTTTTCGGGTTCCATGTTGATCTGGCGCGCAGGGCAACTTATTGTTCCCAAGCCGCAAATGACTTGAAACCCAGTCCGCGACCTTCGCAACCTCGGTTGCCATTTGCCCATAGCGAGTTCATGGTATGAATGATTGGGGCCACGTCAGTAAATATCATCTACATGGGAGTATACTATTAAATATCATATCCACCAACATTCTTTGAGGATGGTTCCTGCCGCGTACGGACGTTCTTTCCCGCCAAACAAAAGAGACTTCGTTGAATCCTGCTGCAAAAGGGCTGTCCCGCTGCCAAAAACAAGAGGGAAAACTCGTGTCTCTGTTCCGAAAAGGGGGGAGGGACCGGTCCTTCCTCCGGGCAATACCTGACAAAATCTGCCAACTTCTCATTTGCAGCCCCCTGAAGATGGACAGGGCCAAAGAAGCCAAGAGAGCGCATGCTTTCGCTTGTTTCAAGGGATAGTGGGGTCATGGTGTAACCCTGTAGCAAAGCACCTTTTGGGCCATAGGTTTAGTTGGCACCTTTGTTGCTAAGCAAACCAGGTATGCCAGTCCTAAAACCCTTATTCTTTGCAATGCCAGAACTGCTCCTCGCACCTGACATGGAACCTGACTGGAGGTCCATGTCAGGGATGCTATGCGAGTTTTACGGCTGCGACAGGTTGCAGCAAAGAGAATGACACACAAAAGTTGAAGATGCATACAACCCCCCCCCCCCCATTCAGCCCCCACCCCCCCACCCCACTCCCCTACCCCCCCATTCGATCGCCTTCCAGACGGTGCCATAGGTACCTTCACCCACCGGAGCTCCCAACTTCTCGTAGCGCCTCAGTTCGACGCGAACTGCGCGTCGCGGGCGTCTCAGCGGGAGACCAAAAATTGTTAACCGGAGCTTGGGTTCCGCCAAGAAATTGAGGTTTCCGTTTGACCAGGTAGTGGGCTCTGCCAAGAAATAGAGGTTTGTATAGGCCTTGCACCCATAAGATCAGCTAGAGCCATTTAAAATGGCCCAGTCGGGGAGGTTGGGCGCTGAGTCGGATACGAATCTGGCTGGAGTTGGCTTCCCTTTGAACAAAAACAAAGCGACGGCCCAAGAGGGAGCACAAAGGGGCAGATGAGTTCAACTGGACGTCCTGTATGAAATCCCTGGGATTTCACCCCGCGAAGAAAAAGCTGAAACCTGGCGCCTGAATGTGCCCCTGGCGTCAGGAGCGTCAGGGAGCGTCAGGAGCTCCCAGGATCATTCGGAGGAAAGGCGAATTTGCGGAATTGGTTCTTGTTTTAATATAATTAATGGTGATTCATTCGTATTGGAAAAAAACTTGTTAATTATTGTTATGGCAGAAGGACAGCCCAAGAGGTCTCTGCGGACTGCACCTGACGTATGGGTGGTTCGGACAAATCCACTCGGGTCCGCCATTGGAGTCACTGAGATCGCCACGACATCTCGATTTCAATGTCAGGCTCCTGCAGGGAAAGCCGGGCGCCGAGTGCGACCAATGCCAGAGATCACCACTTGCCATGTTGACCGACCTACAATAGGAGGGAAACAAAACGAACAACCTTCATGGGCCTCAAATGGGAGTCCCAACCCCCCCCCCCCCCTTGCATGTCGCAGTTGAGTTTGCCCACCCACCCGGCCCTACCCCACCCACCCCCAAGAAAACGCCGGCGAGTTCTTCGAAGCGGGATGCTCCCTGGCATAGCAGGCAAAACCACCCTTCCAGCACTGAAGGTTCCTCGCGCCCGATTTACCCCCAAAGATGCATACCCAAAGAATCAGCTTCGCCTGAAACCTCGATTTGGGTCTGTGCTTCGAATAAGGAGTACCCTTTCCAGGCTGCTTTCAAAAGGGAAACCAAGAGGAAAGCCAGAAGTTGTAGGGGTCCCCCTTTAAACCCAAGTCCTCGGAACCCAAACAAAGCCCTCGGGCCCCCGCGGTGATTCTGCGAGTTCGAACCCCGCGCCTCTGAGCGGCAGAATGGCCGGGACCATGCCGACCCCCCGGTCTCCGGTCTCCGGTCTCGCTCGGGGAGGTCGGCTGTAGATCAAACGAAGCTTAGCGTTCGCTGCTCGGATTTTTTGGAAACCTCCCGGAGCAGCTCGGCTCACCTTCGGCTGAAAAACTCAGGGCTGAGGGTGGCGTCTGCTCCGCGGAACTCCGTTGGGGAGCGTGTTGTTGCGGGTTGAAGCGGCGGGTGGAAAAACTTCGCCCTTCGTGCACCCTCGGGGTGGGAAAACTCGGCTTCCGGTGACATCAGAACCATGGGCCTAAAGGAAGATTCGTGTACAGAACCACCGACTTGCAAGTCAGCCAGTCAATTTCCGATTTCAAGTTGCCGGGTCACCAAGCCTGCGTGTGTTTATCTTTTCGCTGGAGCCAAGAGAGCAAGCGGAAAGGCAAGCTGCCCGAGTCCCACCCTGGAAAAAAAAAAACGCATCAATGGCTGATGAGTTGCACCTACCCGGTTGCAGCCAATCGCCAAAAGTGGGGACTCAATCAGAACCAATTGAACCCACCAGAACGGTCCCTTTCACAAAAAAAATGCCCAAGCTGCATCTCCTTTCGCCTTCCCTTTAGTCAACCATTCATTAAGTCCTTGGCCAAGGCCAACTCTAAGGCTTACTTTCTGGCTGGTCAAAAACGGGTACCCGAAATGGAAGCATGGGAAATGGAAACATGGACTAAAATCTGTGGTCCCCTGGTGGTTTGATTTTGACCCATACCGTAGGCCCATACCCATCTAACCGTTGCGAGTGTCTTTGGATGCCTTTCAAATGGCCTCTTTGTTGAACAAGCAATCCGCGGCTGCGGAGAGCGGAGCGGGCAAACCCCCGCAATGTTCCCAATGGAAACCCGTGATTTATCAACCCTCTGAGGTGTCCCCTTTTGCATAAAAGCCTTCATCTTCGGGCAACACCCCCGTATTCATCCAAATCCGGGGTTTGGAGAAAGGGGGGGGTGGTCCCAAGAGAGCTCAACAGTGAAGTCCCTAAATGCAGCACTGAAACCCTGCGAGAGCCACGCCAAGCTTCTTGTGCGACGTCAACCCTTGACGAAATCAGCAAGTTGTTTTCTCAAAAAAGAGACGGTGGGTATTTCAAAACCTGGGCCGCGGGGATGTCGACTGGAGAGTCACCAGCCATTGGTCACATCCCATTTTGAGGATCCGGATCACTTTTGGGGGGAAGCACCCTATCGTTGATGCGCCAACTTAATTCAAAAGCGCAAATGGCGACCTTGCGTTGATTCCGGACTGGGCTCCTCAAGGGAAACGAAGGGGAACCAACCCAACGTTCCACACATGGAGTTCTCATTGGCTCCGAACAACCCTGTGACTAGTTTACACTTTTAAGGGATTCCCAGGGCGGAAGCATCGCAGAAACTGGAACCCGAAGACCGTTTTCACCAACCAGAGAAAATCCTGTGCCCCCCTCGCCCCCCAAACCCGAAGAAGGGTTCTTGGACCTTCTTCAACGGGTTCTTAGAAGGCTTCAACCTTTTCGGTGCCTCTTTTTGTTGGAGCTACCCCTTTTTTCTGGTTCTAAAGAGGAGCCAAAAAGGAAAACCACCCTTTGTGCGGGGGTCCCCTGCAAAAACAAACATCCTTTCTGCTAGAGCCCTGACACACAGCGAGCTTGGGAGCCAGGCTACTGGTTGCCTCTCTCGAGGACCCGCTCGCTGGAGGACCCCCATCGATCGGCAGCGCCCGTGTTCGTGCGTCCGTGTTCGGATCGGACGAGAAAAAATAAAAATAACTTTTTCCGGGCCCATGGGAGAGATTATCTGTTCATTTCTCTTCTCCCGAATCTGGAAATGAAAGGTGATCACCTGGAGGATTGTGGCAAACGGCGGCAACCAACAGAGGATGGCAAACGAATCCTGAAGGCGACCCTCCGCGCTGTGATGTCATCTCGGCAGAGCAAAACCAGAACAAAACCATCAATCGCCCCCCCCCTTCTGGTTAAAGAGAAAAGCAATGACCCAGCTGGTTGTCACAACGCACTACCGCCCCAAACACCAAGTTCCGCTAAATCAGCTGGTGCATGTGAGCTTATGGTCTCGGAAACCCACAAAGATGGATAGTTTCCTCTTGGGTTTGCCTTGAAACGAGCCCAACAACAGGTTTCCCTACTTTGAGACACACCCAAGCATGTACGAGGTAGACGTATACAATTGTACTTGTCTTTTTAGCCATCCAACACACCTCCGTGTCAGACGAGAAGAACAAATTGACATGGGGCCGCCTTCGCCCTGCTTGAGCCACTGCCAGGCGTCAGATTCGAAGATGCAAATTCCGAGATCAATCCGGAACCCGCGACGCACAAATCGGAAGCACGGTGCACCGCTTCCGAAACCTCGCAGCCCAAAGGCCACCCAAGAACTCGATCTTGCAGTTGTTCTCGGGTTCTGAGCCACAAAGATCCTTGGGTCTGAGGGTAGGCAGGTACCACCCTGCGACTGTCCCAAGAAGGACGAGCTTGTGCTTGGTGGCGTTCAAAGGAATAGCAAAAGAAAGCGACGAAGATGTACGGCTTCCCAATTTTGAGAAAAGCCGACAAGACATGCGCCAGCTTAGCTGGAGCCAGAAAGTCACCTGTCCAGACCAAATAATGAAAAGCTAAGCCGTTGAATTCATGAATTCAAGCAGAAAAACAAAAAGCTAAAAAACGAAAACCGATGTTTCACAGGTCAGCTTTGGGCAGTGAATGATCAGCCCGTGGCTCAAGAACAATCTTCACTGACTTTGATTCAACATCCATCAAGGAATTCCGGGGCCATCATGGGTGCGCTCGCTTTCCAGGTAGGTGCAGTATGGTGAAAAGTTACATCCAAGAATTCCATGCCAATAAGACTGGTACCATCCCTACACGAGTCATCAAGCGGCGTCAATGAGAAGGTCGCCGACTTGTGTTGGCCGATTCTGCTGGACAACCACTGGGAAACCACCCACTTGAGAAAAACAGGGGTTCCTGTTGAGAGCAAGTAGGTGGCACAACTCCCCCGCTCCTTTTTGGGCTTAGTCGTTCCCCTTCTCGATCGACAAAAGGGAATCTTGACGGGTCATGCACGTGCTTGAATTGCAAGCTCTTGCAACCCATCTTACTCCGGGATGGCAGAATTCCCTTTTGTCCAGGAAAAGGAACGACTCGTACTCCAGGAGTGCAGAATTCCCTCGTGATGCACGCATCTCGCCGGGGTCCACCTGAATTTTATGAGCCCTAGAAGCTACCTGGAAGAAAACCTGATTCTTCAAGCCCCAACCCTGGTTGCAACACTCCCTACAGCGGACAAAAAGAAGGCCGCAAAGCCCCAAAAATCCTTGGCCCGAGCATGTGCAAGGCTTCAACCCTGCTTTCAAGAGGGTCCCTGAAGTATCGCGGACTCGCTCGGGTAGAGCTTTCTTCGCAAAGAAAGGTCGTCCGTTGATATACATCCGGCACATAGCGCCCCTTTGTGAGCGACAGTCTAGCAATAAATTGACTTATTGCGTCACTGACATTGGATTTTGATGAGGGTGCACCCCCCAATCTCTAATGGTAGCTTGGTGAGTGGTTCGCCCCATGTCATCCCCGTGACGAAGCAAATTTGAAGTGCAGTTGCGCATTTCAGATAGACCATCCTGTTTTGGGCGACACCCAGAAGTTACAACTCCATTTGAGGAAACACGCCTTTCGCCACATGCAAATGCAGGAGTGTGAGTCAAAATCACATCTATAAAAGTACTCTGCCAAATTCATATCAAGAGTCCAAAAGAGGTTCTAATCCGCACCAATTTCTCCCAACAGAACTGTCCCCAATTCTAAGCTTCGTGCACCAAAAAGTACCTTCAGCTAGACCTGCTTTTACTTGGTCTGCTTCCCTTAAAATCCTGACCTTTCGCATGGACGCAGTTCGGGGTATCGAGGTGCCCCTCCTTCCCTCCTCCTGGCCTGCTCCGCCCGGTTCATGCGGTGGACCTGCGGAAACCACCTCGGCAAGTCGCTTGGCGTTTGGGGACCGCGCATTTTGGTGGCCATATAAACATCCCAGTTTTGTTCATGTCCTCTCGAAAACAAAGATCTCAGTGTCATAAATGTTGTGTAATAATAATAATAATAAAATGATGATGATGATGATGATGATGATGATGATGATGATGATGATGATGATGATGATGATGATGATAATAATAATGATGATGAGGATGATGATGATGATGATGATGATGATGCTAATAATAATAATAATAATAATAATAATAATAATAATAATAATAATAATAATAATAATAATAATAATAATAATAAATAATAATAATAATAATAATAATAACAACAAAAATAATAATAATAATAATAATACTAACACTTTTTTGTTCATGTCCTCTCGGGAACAAAGACCTATGCCTGCGACATATATGTACATGTCTTTTGGAGCATACAGAATCCTTCAAGCCCTGGTTGATCAATGGCTCCTTTCGTGAAGATCACTTGCTTCGTTTGGCCGGGGGATAGCAGGATGGGTTTATGACTCCGGGTACAACTGATCCAAAGAAGGTCTTCTCTCTTTCAACGGGCTGCCTCTTGGGCACTGTCTGCGCTCTACTCGGGTACGTCTCCGCATGGGAATACCCGAAAATCAGCAAGTCTCCTTTGGGGAGCTTGGAACTGACCTCGAAAAGCCCGCCAACTCCAAACCAAAACGTAGCCAGCTACCCGGATCACTGCTGGCCATGTATCTTTTATCCCCAGCCTGCGTGACTGACGGATGTCAGCCGGAGTGGCATTGAGAATGACCATGGAGCGGATGAGACCGGCCCCCAGACCTCGAGATGCCTGCAGCTTCCCTCAAGGGGTTGGATTGGGACTTCCCCTTTGCCAAACAAAAATCCGCAAACTAATCCAAACCGCCAAAGGCTTGCCTCAGTGCTACCCGGCACGGAACTGGTCTTGCTCAGGACAACCCCTTCCCCTGCCAAGTCGCCTCAGCTGTCACCCAAAACAATTCAACTTGACTTTGAAAAACAAAAACAAAACAAAAAACAAAAAAGATGCCTTCCTCGAAAAAACTGAAAGGCAATCCACCCTTCACGCTGACCGTTGCTGCGAATGCGGCTTCTGAACGTCTCTGGAGGTGTTCTTGTAGATCACCGCGCGCTCCTACACAGGTTTCTCTCTGGGGATGGCCCCCATTTTTTGCTCAAACATGTGTTGACCACAAAATGCTTAAGCAAAACCTCGCTTACAGCAACACCTCGCTTAAATCTTGCTTAAACCAAGTGTTAACCACATTGCCTCAGCAACCTCCGTTTGGGCTCCCTTGAAATGGGGAACCAGGCAACAGGACCCCGGCTGGCGGGGTCCTGTAAACCCAAAAAGGGGAGGGAGGACACCTATGTCATGGCATGTGCGTGAAAATTTCAAGACATTGCGGTTTTCTGGGGTCTCCAGTTCAAATCACAGGCCTAGTTCCGAGTTCAAATCAGTTGCCCTCACAGCGGGGCTTCCTCGCGCTGATGCTTAGGGTAAGCATCAACACCCGTTGGACCTTGCAATGCGAAGCTCCATGCGCTCGTACACGTCTGCCAACACTTTGCGCGTGCGTGGACCCTCCTTGCAGATCAACGGCAGGAACCCAAAAAGGAGGTCCCACAAGGGGATCCCTCTGAAACCAACGATCTACCAGGTTCCATGTTGATCATGTTTGCAGACCTTTCTTGTCTCATGACCATGACTGAATTTGACCATGGAGCTCCAGGACAAAATGGGCCTTTATCCTCGCGTGGTCAAAAAAAGGCTTGGAATCTGGCTGACCAAAACGATGCAAAGGATGGGTGTCCTTTTTGGGCTTGGTTGAAACCGCTGCCAGGGCACCGACTTCAGAGTCACCACCTCGAAAAGCCACAGGCAGATTGAACACCCAAAGCTGAAGCACGCTAGATACGAATACAGTGATGTTGTCTGTATCTGGACAATTTACTGTGCTTCAGAAACCCGGAAGAAAGAATTTCTACGGGAGCTTCCTTATGAGTTTGGTTTACCCATGGCTGAGCTCGTGATTTGCCTGGGTATGGATGCAAACAAACGCACAGCCCACCCCATCCGTGGCGCGGGTGACCTTTTTCCTCCGAGGGGATGGCCTCGCGGCCGCGAGTCTCTTTGCCGCCCATGGCCAGAAAGCCTTCAGCCTGCTCCAGCCTTCGCGTGGCTTCCGAAACATCCGAACAGCACTCCTTGAGGCTTGGGTCTTTGTTGGATCGGAAGCTCCGAAGTAGACTCCTTGGAGTCGCTGCCTGCTTACCAAACAAACAAACAAACAAACAAAACGCGGCAGGAGCAGGCCAACTTTGTACAGGAGAAAGACTTTCCTGGGCCAAGTGCGACCTTAAAATGGGCCGCACATTGAGCACGCTGGTCTCGAGCAGGGCTTGCTGTCAGTCTCTTTCAATCAGACGCTCCACTCGAGTTTCCCAGGCCGAAAGCCGTGAAATGCTGAGCAATGGCAAGCCTTGTGGAGCGTTGTCCATGGGCCCATGCCGAAATGGCGAACCACTGGCATGTGAGCCGGCCAAAGAACGGATGTTCGGGCGTGTGTCAAACGGAACAGCTGGGTGTGCGCAACCAAAAGCAGCTTCGCGCCCCAGAAATATTTTTTGTGCCTCCACTCACAGTTCCCCTTGTTACTTCCCATTTTCACAACCCAAACGGTGCTAAAGTAAGGAAGCCCGGCCTTTGAGACACGCCGTTGCAGTGAAGTCCCCCGGTTCCTTCCGAAAAAGCCCCAGGGTGACCGGGTGACCGCCCGGCGCGTTGGACCACCTGCACCCTTCTTCACTGATTCACTGATTCACTGATTTGTTTCGATGGCTGGGACCCCTGTTCCCCAACAGTACAACTGAGCGAACCAAGCACTTCGCTTCGGGAAACAGGATTGCCCCGTGTTCGCCCCCAAACATAATGCGGAACGAAACAAGCCCGCTGCCCAAATAGGCACGGAGGTTCACAGGGGATTCATAGTCACTAACCGCTTTGAGGGGTTCCTGAAGAAATTTGACCAAATCTGCTTCGACCCTTCAATCGCTCCACCGCACCTTTGAAAGAAAAGGTCCATGCCATCTCCTATGCCCCCAAGAGCCCAGAAATCCGCAAAAAGCCAGCACTATTGATATATGTATAATCTCTATATATATATATGTATACACACATATACATATATACACGCACAACTCTACCCAATCTGTGCAAACAAAAAAGCACTATTTCCACGCTAACTTCAGAAATAGAGGGAATTTATCTCTCTCCCGCGGAGGCTATTCCCTTCCCTCTAAGCCGAGAGATCAATCCTAGGCGCGCGGAGCGTTGTCGCGAGCCTAGGAAAAGATGTAGCACTCCTCGAAGCAGGGCGGGGCAAGCAAGCCCTTGTTTGAGTGCGTGTAAGCCCCCGTTGTTTCAACCAAACGCTTCCTCGAAGTACCGGATCAGCTGCGGCAATCTGGCGGTGTAGAAGATGGGGCTGTTGAAGATCAAGCGATTCGACCTGAGCGATTTCTCGCGGTAGGCTGTCAAAGCTTCCAGATGGCCATAGACCACAAGCCATGTCCGAAGCAAATGCAAGGCCCGAAGAATCCACACCTGCGGCCATTGAGGGAGCTTTGCGAGCCTTTTGGGAGCACCTGAAGAACTGGGCCAAGCACCAGCTGAAGAACGGTCCAAAGGAGGTCTTGCCCTCCCTAGGTCCTGTGCAAGTCCTTAAGTTCCTTTGCTGATGTCCTTAAGCTCCCGAAGGCCCTCCCTGAAGATCTTAAGGCCCCTTACCAGTACCACCCCCCCCCCCAAGCCCCCCCTTTAAGGTCCCCTTTAGCCCGCCCACCCCCCACCCCCCTTAAGGTCTTTTTCAACCTCCGTAAGGGTCCCTTATCCTTGGGCGTGCCATGTGTCTGCATGTAGCCATGCAAATCGCATTTTGTATGTCCCGTCAATGCCCGGTAAATGCAGTGGGACTCACTGTGACACGTGCTGGCAGACTCCAAGGCAATGAACAACCTTCACCCCCATTCAACAAGGAAGCGAAACGAGCCAACAGGCCGCCTTTGGTCTTGCTACGTGACATTTGCAGATCCGCAACTTGCACAAACCTTTGATTGTCGGAACTCCATTTGGTAGGGGAACCAGTGGACCTCCAAGCTACCAGGAAACTACACCATTCAGAGGAAAAAGCAATTTCCAGGTATAGGCTTTGGAGCTATGCATCCTGATGATGATGATGATGATGATGATGATGATGATGATGATGATGATGATGATGATGATGATGATGATGATGATGATGATGATGATGATGATGTTTGTGAACCCTAACCCCCCCCCCCCCCGGTAACGCCTTCTTTGACGCATTGACTGCGCGCAAGATCCACCGATCAAGGATCTACATGTTTAAACATGCATGAGTTGAGTTACAACCCCTTGTTTAATGGGTCTTTTAATTAAACCCCAACCCGTCAAGCCCCCCTACCTTGACTGGGAGGGGGGTTGCCGCCAATTCCAGTCTTCCCACAGGGAAAATGGAACCAATGGAATTCCAGGGGTCCCCTCCCGCAATTCCCATCTTTTAAGAGGTGTGCGGATCCCATCAATGAACCCCTTGGACACCTTGGGTTTTCCCGTGATCTCCCAGCAACTTCTTCCCGACAACTTGGGCCCCGGCAAATCCGCCTTCTCGAAGCGCCGGAAGTTGCGGCGGGCCTTCTCTCGCCAGGGCTACGCGCGTCCACGTGGCTCGTCTTTCTTGAGGTAACCCCTTTTTTGATGCGTTTTAAAGGGAAACCAAGGGAACCAGTTTGGGGGTCCCCTAAAAAATGCTACAGCCCTGTGACGGTTTACTGGTTTGTATGTTCTGAAAGTTGAATGTGTTTGTTTTGGGAAGAGGAACATTGTCTTTCGACTGGATTGGATTCGCGGCTTGACGTTTTCAGCCTGGCTCCGACCCAACTCGACACCTAACCTGAAGGCTGGCACGTGAGAAGCAAACCGAGGGTTCATGTAACTATTTCGGCAAGCGACCCAAGGGTTCCCGCGAAGAAAGGGCTGCGAACGCCAAAAAAAAAAAAGCAGCCGCTTGCAAGACCAGGAAACAAGGCAAACATGAAGCGAACAAACATCCAGCCCATGCGGCGGGCGGCACTTGGGAGGCAAGGAATGAAAGCTGAGCAAGCTTGGCAGGCAAGCAGCTGTCCGCAGAAACGTGGCGATGCCAAAGCTGGAAACTGCCACACTCAAGTCCCCAGACCCCCTTTTCAAGAGAAGCAAGCACCACTCCATTTCAAATGCCGAGTCTCAAACGAAACTAAATGAAACCAAATATGCAACCATTCGATGCACCCCTTTTGGTTGGTATTTGAGGTCAAGCCTAAAGGAAGCCCCGACCATTCGCCTGCTGCACAAAGACGGCGCCGAAGTGCAGGTTCGCCAGCACCGCCTGCGAAGACGGATGTCCAATTGAAAGCTTTGGAGGCGAGTTACTTTCGTTCGCAACGTAGGTGTGGAATACCAAAAGACTACGAAAGGAGTCATGTTGACCCCAGAATACACTCCAACCCCATAGAAGAGTAGGGGGTTTCCTGTTGATAGCACGGGTGAGAAAATATTTTTTGCCCGGGTCCAGTCAATTACAACAAATGTCCAGAGGAAGCCACAGGATCCAAACACTGAGTCCTTTTCCGCCAGGTTGCAACCGGCTGGGGATTTGTTTGCCATGACCTGAGGAACACCCCCGATGGTTGTTGTTGTTTTGTTTGGCTTTTGTGTATATATATATATATATATCACCCATAAAGATGGTTGTTTCTTTGTTTTTGCTTTACTTTAAAAAAAAAAAAAAGACTCGAAGTAAGAAAGCAAACCAAGACCCAAACCGGGGACGGGAATTTGTGTGGCTCCCATTTCGGCTCCTCGCCTCGCCTCTCGCCGCCTCCCGCCGCTCGCCGCCTCCCGCCTGCCGGGAGTGCGGAATGGCGGTGTTCCGCAGCAGGCCGTGGCGGTGCACGCCCCACTCGAAGGCCGGCTTCTCGGGGTGGAAGGCCGAGGCGAAGAGGGGCGCCTGCCCTGCGCACGAAAAGGCGGCGGCTTTTTTTTGGCGCAAAAGGAACGGTTTTTTTCTGCGCCAAAAGAAGAAGGAACGGGGAGCAAAACAAGAAGCTGCAAGGGCTTTTGGGCTTTGCGGTTGTTCGGCTGGAAGATGTTTTTGGGCCTCTGCCCGGAAAGGCTCCGGAGTGGGCATGTTCCGGGCTCTGGCGTGCTCCTGAAAGGCGGGGAGGGTGCGGGGAGGTTCCTAGAGTTCCAGGTTCTGTAAAGGTTCCGTGTGGAAGGAGGCTCGAGGGATGTCCATGGAGTGGGAAAAGGCCCCGGAGGCTTCCGGAAGGTTTGGGAAGGCTCCGGGGTTCCAGGGAGCTGCGTAGGGTTCACTGGAGGGGTTCCGGAAGGGGCCCGTAGCTCAAAGGACTAATTCCAGGGTGACAGGGGAAATTCCTGGAGCAGTTGCTGGATTTCTGGAAGGCTCTGGGTCGGATAGTTCTGGCGGCTGGAGGTTCCGAAAAACCTCACGTCCATTTGCTGGAGTCCCCTGACAAGAATAGAGATATAGTAGTGATAGAGTCCCTTTAATCAAACGAGAATACGTTGTTCAGCAAACGGAGGGCAATCTAATCACGTCCCCCCATTCTTACATCCCGGGACCCCCGAAGAATAGATACACATTTGGGGGACAACACATTTTATTCATAGGGTTTCAGGGATACCCCCTTTTTCTCTAAGTATTGCATATAGATTGTAGACTGGTTTTGATACAAATCCAGGTTTGCGTCCGTTTGATGAATATGGTTGTTTGCTCCAAATTTGAATCTTGTCTGGGCCTCATGTTTTCACGGCATTAGTGGGTAGCAGTTGAACAAAGGAAGTGCTGAAGGTACCCCCTTTCAAGGCTGTCAGAAAGTTAGTATTGGTTAGTATTGGGTCACTTTAAAAGTAGCCTTCTCCGAATATGTTCAACTGCCTGGCGCAAATGAGAGCACTTAATGCCTGGCACCAAATGAGTCACAATCAAAACCCGGTATCAAAATAGCCTACCCAGAACCACGTAAAGAATCAAGAAGGTGGCCGCAACTATTTATGGTTGGGATTGTCCCTTACTAACCTTCATCTACCCGGGTTTTGATTGTGGCTCAAATGGTCATCCGCAGCATAGATCCTTGCGCGACTCAAAACCCATCCAAACTTGCCATTTGTTCATGACCTCATCGTGAGGAGAATCTCCCCTAGCCGCAGAAACTTTAATCAGGATGTGTCCGGCACTGAACTCAACTAGATGGTTTAATCAAAGATATAACTATATATCTATATACCCCGCACCCGACAAGCCAAGCTGAACCAACACTAAACCAACCCTAAGCACACATTTTAAACAAACACTAACCACACTCTAAACCACCAACCTAAACCACCAACCTATACCACCCCTGAACCAACCTAAACGAACCCTAAACCACCACAACCCCCCTAGACCAACCCGCACAACCCCACCACAGGGCGGGGGGGGGGGGGTTGGTCCTGGACAAACCAGACAAACCATAAACTCAACCACAGGGGGGGCGGGGAGGAACGGATGGGAACCATGGGAGGGGGGGGACTTGCGAACGCTTGACAAAATATATATATATATATATATGTATTCATTATATTGTGCAGCTCGAGTCACTCCAAAAAACAAAGCCGATTTGGAGCAGACCCTACCCTGCCTCAACTAGGTCCGGTTCTTCTGAGGCTTCCACAAAAAAAAAATCCACTTGCGTGGGTTGGGGCTCTGATTTTCCAGCACAAAACACGACTTCGTCCATTTGTTGGGAACCCGTCGGCAACGTTGCGGATCGATTCCGAGGCACGGTGCTGCATCAGCGACACGAAGCGCTGGCCCCGCTGATCCACGCTGCTGGCCAGCACCTCGAAGCTCTCCGACAGCTCCTACGCGGAGCGCGCTCGAAGGCCGGAGCTCCGGAGCTTAGGGATCGGATCTGAAAGGAACGAGTGGACTGAGAAAAAATGAAAAAGTCCGCGTGGCGCCTTTGGCTTCAACATGAAAATGGGCGCCAAACCGGAAAAAAGCGACTAAAGTTCGGAGGAACTCCGGGAGTGAGCAGTAACTCACTACCTGGGTCTGGGAATCAGGGATGGAGGGTGAATAGGGACATACCGCAGAGCAAAACACACATCTGGGGAAACAAACCTCAGTTGCCCAAACGACCTGGAAACAAAAGGTGATCACCTTTGGGGCCATGACTAACAAAGGAGTACCAAACAGGGGGAACCAAAAGGTCCAAAAGTTGGCGCTGGGCAAGTGAGGTAAGCACTTGGTGCGACTGGATATCAAACGGGGCCAGTGAATCTGAGGTATTTTACCAGTGCCAGAGTCAGGATTCACCCCCAACACAGCCCAAAACACCCGTCTCTCCCCCCTCCCAAAAGGTACGAGATGAAGCACCTAGGGCTTTTCCACCCGACCAGACCAACCAAGGTTCGGAGGAAGCAGGCAGATTCCACCAGACAAAAATTGGGACAACCCCCAAACTGGAGAACTTCCCGTGGCTTCTTTTGGTTTGATGCGTCCTTGATCTGCGAGAAGGTGCTTCTCAGGATGCCCCACTCATGGTGCTGGAAGGTGATGGCCGAAGCTTGCAGCCACCGCTGGAAGGTGCTGGACCCTGCTGGAGGCGAAGAGAGAGGCATAGAGACAGACTCAAACGGGTCACGGCCGTTGTGGGTCTGTCCCTTGTTTCTTTTGGGGGGGTTCCTTCTTTGTTGGTGGTGTTCAAAGGAAACCGCAAGGAAAACCGGTACTTCCATTCTATGTTTGTTTGTTTGTTTGTTTGTTTGTTTGTTTGTTTGTTTGTTTGTTTGTTTGTTTGTTTGTTTGTTTGTTTGCTTGCTTGTTTGTTTGTTTGTTGGATTGTTTGTTTGTTTGTTTGTTGGTTGGTTTGTTGGTTGGTTGGTTGGTTGGTTGGTTGGTTGGTTGGTTGGTTGGTTGGTTGGTTGGTTGGTTGGTTGGTTGGTTGGTTGGTTGGTTGGTTGGTTGGTTGGTTGGTTGGTTGGTTGGTTGGTTGGTTGGTTGGTTGGTTGGTTGGTTGGTTGGTTGGTTGGTTGGTTGGTTGGTTGGTTGGTTGGTTGGTTGGTTGGTTGGTTGGTTGGTTGGTTGGTTGGTTGGTTGGTTGGTTGGTTGGTTGGTTGGTTGGTTGGTTGGTTGGTTGGTTGGTTGGTTGGTTGGTTGGTTGGTTGGTTGGTTGGTTGGTTGGTTGGTTGGTTGGTTGGTTGGTTGGTTGGTTGGTTTGGTTGGTTGGTTGGTTGGTTGGTTGGTTGGTTGGTTGGTTGGTTGGTTGGTTGGTTGGTTGGTTGGTTGGTTGGTTGGTTGGTTGGTTGGTTGGTTGGTTGGTTGGTTGGTTTTCTTCTTCTTCTTGCTTCTTTTTTGGGGGGGGGTCCCTACAAAATGACACGCCCGTAAAAACTATGGTTCCCTGTATTAACTAGGGTTATATGCCTAATGGTTGTAAAGTAAGTGAAATGCAAAAATCCGAGAACCCCACAGACCCACGTCGCCCCTTGTGTGCCTGTCTGGTGCTTGGACATCTCCACTGGCTCATCGGGTCACTGATTTGTACTGAAATCACCCAAACCCTGCTCGATGGCTTCCCCCCAGCGGCCAAAGCAAAGAAGTATGCAAGCGAAACCTCTTCCCCGAGTTTCGAAACGAGCGGCGATTGCTGAGGTGCTCTGTCTCAGGAATCAGCGAGAAAAACCAGGACGTCAGAACCCGTGGTTTCAGTGGGTATTCGGCTAGCTTCCTGGTTTTCAATGAGGTAATTTGGCGAGCTTCCTCCAGAATTTCCCGCTGGTTTCTTTCTATGAGGCAAACTGTGCCGTCATCGCCCAGCGACCCACCTCACTTATTTGCATCATGTGGAGATTATACCTCACAGGAACCGTCTTGAAGCTCAAGACAAGTCCTGCATACACTGTCAATGCTTCAACAAAGAACGCTCAGTGCCCCGCAACCTAAAGCCATGGGGAAATGCATCCGCGTCATGTGTGAGTTTGGGTCCTAGCCGCTACTTTTGGAAAGATCCGGAGAACCAGAAGTTCAGTTATACAGTACACTGATTCATTTGGGTGTCTCCGTTTGACGTCCCATTCATGGTGGGTGGCATGGCTTCCCTAAGATGCCAAACAGCACGTACCTATTCGGGTGTGTCTCTTTTTAGGCCGGCCAAAGTCCTTTTGGCTTCCATTTAAAAACAACCACAACACGGGCACCCTCGCAAAAAGGCATACCGTATACCAAAAAAGACACGCGCAAGTGGGCTCGAGCACTCCCGCGCTTTTTGCCCGCCTGGCCAGCGCTGCTCATCGAAGAAGCGCGCCAAGTCACCCTCAAAAAGCAGCGGCAGCGCCACATTGTCTGCATAGGTGCCTCGGGGGGTTTGCTTCTGAAAGGAACCGGTCCTTAGACCTCAGCTGGTGGTTTCCTTTAGGATCCCCTTTGAATAGGGTCCCTAAGGATCCGAACCCAGCCCAGGAACGGCTGGAAAACCTGACCTTGCCTGGTTTGGGGTGGTTTGGAGGTTAGGGCGGTGGCTTCGCGTTTACCCCCGAAGAGAACCAGGGCTTCAAGCCCCCAAACCACACCACTTACTGTAAGGGCGACCTGACAACCAACCTCCCTGCTTTGAAGGAAAGCTATAGCAAAGGAAGCTCAACAACCATTGAAAAGTTTGAGGGGGGGGTTCATCCAGGGGTTGGCCCCAGCGAACATCTGTCCCAAACCAATAAACCAATGGCTAGAGCAGAAAACCGACACCCCTCAGCCTCGCCTTAGGGAGGTGGATGATTTGTCTATCCGCATCCCGAGGCGCGGCTGAGGAACTCCGCATAGACCCGGCCAGTGGCCAGCTGTGCCAGGTCGTGGATGCCAACCTCGCAAAGCGGGGCTTGAGCCGACCAATGGGTTGCCCTTATCCTGTACCTCCCGTCTTTTTGAGTTGGCCCTGAAAGCACATGTTTCTCCAAGGCAAAGCCCCCTTTTGGTCGGGCTTAGGAAACCCTTACCATGGTTGACATCCCTCAGCGGTCCATGAAAATCCCAACCCAACCCCAAGCTTGGGTTCCGAAATTGGACGCTGCACGTTGTTTGGTAGCGATCGGAGCCTTTGCTTGGAACCCACGCAGAGTCCTCTGAAAACGGACAGCCCGCCGACGAAGCTGTGAAGGATGTGATGATTCCGACAACGTGTCTACCCTTGTGCTTTGAAACCGTGCGTTCTTGGCGTGTATCTTTTTCGGACTGGCTCGGAGGAGCGATTGAAAACAAAAGGATAGTGTTGAACAAAGCACAAAGGGAGGTGTTCAGCGGACACATAACCTAAAAAATTGGAATTATGACAACTGTCGAGCGCCAACCTGTTTCCTGCAAGCCCCATTGTGGAAAGATGGAGGCGAAAGAACGGCTTTGGGGACAAACAGGATACCCCACTTGGGATTGTCGCGGAAGCCTTGGAGATATTCAACCGTAGGAACCGGTTCCTGAAAAGGGAGCCATAACCATAGACAAAGCCGGAAGCCTCCCACAGTTCTCCAAACCTCCAGCCTCGGTCTTCAGCTACTTGCTGTCATAGGAATGGGACCAGCGCCTACAACACAAAATCGAGTACCGTGCTCAACCATGAAGCGGTCATTGGGAACCAGCCATTGATTCCTTTGCGATCTTCTCGTCATAAGCAGCTTCCCTGTAGAACCAATCAACACAAAGGCGTCATGGGGCCGCCTGGCAAAAAAGCCGGGTAAGCAACGAGCGGTGATGTCGCCACTTGCTCATGGCCTCTGTTTTTTGGCACCCTTTCGGGGTTGATGTTCAGGAAAAGGGGAACAGGGCTGTGGCGCATGACCACTTCTGTGATACAACAAAAAAGCTTTCCCAAAGACTAACCCCCCTTTTTCAAGGAGGAGATTCCCTTGTATCACAGAGGTGCTTGGATAAACCCCGAGTGATCCTGCAGGCCTGAAGAGACACCAACCGGTTTACGGCCCTATTTGCGCCAACCGACCAGCCCATAAAGGAAACCCACCAAACCCCACCTTTTCGTCTCCAAAAAACGCCAAGACGCACAGGTGGCCCAAACCGGGAAGACCTCGCCGCGTCTTGCAGCGCGCATGGCGTGCGCGAAGACCCGGGCCATCCACTGGTCCGCCGTGCCGTTCATCTTGAAGAAGCCTGAAGCCGAAATACCAGGAGCCCGAGAACTATGGAAATCAGATTTTCGCAGTAGCCCGAGAAAAAAAAGAAACGTGCTGCAAGAATAGGCGCTGGAAACTGGGGAAGGATGACCGGGGCATGCACTTTTCCAAGCGCAACTCTGAATGAGCATCTTGCCAGCTTCTTGCTGCATAACTATATAGCAGGGGATCGGGCTCCCGCACCCCCTGCAGTCCAGAGGTCGGCAAGGGGTGACCTTCCAACATGGCTGGTTCCAACAAGCATGAAAGCTGAGGGGAGGGTTGGTCAGATTCGGATACTTTACTGCAAATGAACGGAATCGGCGCCAAGAAGCGGGGTTCCCGTGAAGATTCACATGGAAGCCTGAGAAGGATCGGCATCGCGCAAGAGCTGGGTGCTCTGCGCATTTGCAGCCAGCCTCAATATTTCTTACGTGGCCTGTGGTGTTCGCCTTGCGATTTAGTCTACCTCCATCGTTTTCCGCGCTTTGCACCGCGCGAACTGCCTGCCGGACCCTCTGCGGGAACCCTGCGCGTCGAAGCGCTCCCGCTGCGGTGCGTTTGCAGGCGTGCAGAACAGGCCGGGAGCGCGCGTGTGGGCCTCGTGAATAGTTATGTGTTCTGTCTTTTCTTTCTTTCTTTCTTTCTTTCTTTCTTTCTTTCTTTCTTTCTTTCTTTCTTTCTTTCTTTCTTTCTTTCTTTCTTTCTTTCTTTCTTTCTGTGTTCTGTTCTTTGTTCTTTCGTTTTCTCTTTTGAATTTTCTTGTCTTTTTTCTGTTCTGTGCTTTCTTTATGTTTTTATTTTATTTCTGACTGTATTGCGGTCTTTCTTGATTTATTTCTTTCTTGAAATATGTCTTTATTTCCTTATTTCTTTATTTCTTTCTTTCTTTCTTTCCTTCCTTCCTTCCTTCCTTCTTTCTTCCTTTTTATCTCTCTCTCTCTCTCTCGCTCTCTCTCTCTCTCTCTCTTTCTCTCTTTCTCTTTATCTGTCCTTGTATCAATTTCATATCCATCTCTACGTATCATCTATCCATCTACCTATCTCTCTATCCAACCTATTCATCTGTCTGTCATCCTTCGCCCTCTCTTGTATCTACCTGTGTATCTACCTATCTCTATCCAATCTATCAATTCATCCATCTCCCAACCATGGTGGGTAGGTGGGCAGGTAGGCGCGCCAATTTCTACGAGGGGCCTCCTATCGTCAAGACCCCATTGGAGTGGCTCAGCACGTGGTCGAACTCCGCCTCCTAGGACCACCAGCGATACTTCCCCCATTTGGTGGGTGAAAAGCATGGTCAACGTCACACCTCGGGAAGACTACGTTTTGTGGATGTGGGTGAGTCTTAAAGGTACCTTTGTTTGTGGCTTTTGAAGGAAACCCAAAGGACGCCCCCATTTTGACACACCCAAATGATGTTCAACTCCAAGCCGCAAAGGGGTTTCGAAGGTGCCACAACGCCAAGAGGACTGCACTGGCCCGCGCCTCCCAATTGTCGTGACACATCAGTCTGGAAGTAAGGCTCGAGCGAAAAACAAATAAATTCGCCACAGAATGAAGCTTGCTGAGCTTGGTCTGTGGACCCTTTCAGAAAGCCTTTACAGGGGGCCAGAACCCTCCCGTGCGCCAGGCAGCTCTTTTGGGGGGGAGGCACGGAGCGCTTGTTTTGACATCGAAGAATCCCCCAACCCTTTTCTGAGGACCCCTTGCACAATACATCCAGGAAATACTAAGCTGGGTTGGAGGGTTCTTGGAATATCGATTTGAGCACAGACCAAAACCCATCATTTTGGGCAGGGGCTGCCCGGGAAAAGCTCCGCGAGAAAAGTTCTTAGATCCTTCAACACCCGACACCCCGCACTGAATAGTTGCCACTACAAGTTGCATGCGGGAGGGCAGGTGCACACGTGTAAAAATATATCAGAACGATACATAACTACATATGTATATATATATATATGAGTACAGTAGACATGGGAGGGAGGAGGGAGGGGGGGAGGAGGCAAGGAAGGAAGGAAGAGACAGGGGGACAAAAACTTCATTCATCTACCTGACTGATTCATTGATCCGTTGATTGATTGCTTGATTGATTGATTGATGCATTGATTGATTGATTGATTGATTGATTGATTGATTGATTGATTGATTGATTGATTGATTGATTGATTGATTGATTGATTGATTGATTGATTGATTGATTGGTTAACTGATTGATTGACTGACTGATAGGTTGACTGATTGGTTGATTGATTGATTGATTGATTGACTGAATGATTGCTTTACATGGATGGGTTGATTAATCGATTCACTGAATTCACTTCATTCATGTT